GAATTTTAGACTAATGGGCGGACGGGTATTTTTTTTTGAAAAATGTGGACGGGCTAGGCGGGCCGGATAATTTTTTTTTTAAACATTGGGTGGGCAGGCTTATGAGCTAAAAATCCGCCTAATGCACAGACCTCTAATAGGAATAAAATAAAAAATAAGCTTCATAAAATCGGTATCGGTTAAGTTTACAAAAAATATCGATTGATTCGATATCGATATGTAATATCAGTGCAGCCCTACTAGTAATAATTTAAAATAATATAGTCCGCCGTTGAAAGGTATTTCGTCTAAATGTCTTTCAATGGCGTCTACTACAGCCAATCACATTGATCACAGATGACTTCATATACACCCAATAAACGAATCATCAGTTTAGGTTATATCAAAGTCATTAGATTAGGAATACAAGTAAGATGTCTTTGTTAATTTTTTTTAAAAGGCCTAGTGATGTTAAACGGCTCGTTTTGAGCCAATTTTTTAAAACGGCTAACTCAATATTTTAGCCAAAAAATATTGCCTAAGCCCTAGAGATTTCGCTAATAGATGTCCAAACCATTGTTCCTTCTACAAACAAAATCTGCAGGCTTGGGTAATATTATTCTAGATGAAATACTGAGTTAGCCGTTCTTAAAAATCGGCTCAAAACGAGCCGTTTAACAACACTAGTTGGGCCTCATAATCATTAAATTTTAATATATCATTTTCATTAATGTTTTCAAATTATTAACAAAACAGAAGCATGCAGACCTGGCGAGAAAATTTATGGTATTAAAATCCGGACGGGGATAAAAGATTACTCAGGACGAGACTAAAAATAAAAATTGGGGCTTGCCGTATTTTTTAAAATAATATTAATCAGTTGGAAAATCATAAAAAATTTAAATCCGGGTGGGTAAATATAACCGGGTTTAAAAAATAGACCTGTGTGATTCTATGATATTTAGCATTAGTCCTATTCCGAGTTCGAATAATTGATTATTCGACGAGTTATTTGCTGATTATTATTATGTTCTTTAATAAATTAGTTTGATAACCTATCAATCTAGCAGGTGCTTAAAAGGAATGCATCCGCTGCTTGTGAAAGTTTTTTATAGTTGGAACTAATTTGCTGTAAAATAATCACATGTCTTATAAAGAAGATATAATAAGAAAAATTTTTTGCCATAAAAATTCGCTTGGCATTATAAATTAAATTAATGCATTTTAATTTTGTTTTAAAATTAGATGTGGAATAGAAAAATCCTGAGTAAGTTAGAATTTGTTATATAATAGGAATTAATAAATTAAAATATTACATATTTGGTTATTAAATAGTATATGTTTAAATTTTATATCACGCATTCATTAAATTATCTTTAATTTAATATTCTGATATTTGACTTATTTTACAGCAATTCAAATTTGACTTTTCATTTTATTGTTAACCTATTCTTATTAACTTATATTTATATTCTAATTTTTGGTTTTGTAAAAAGATATATATACGAGATAAAAAAAGTTAATAAACGAGATGAAATATCTAATATAATAATCCTCAAAAACCGTCAATCAAATTTAGCCAATAATATTCATTTAAAATATATTTGTCCAATCGGTCCAATAGTAATCACCTTACAAACTAAACATTGATTCAGCCAGTTCTATTTATAAATCATATGGAAACTATGAAAATATTATTATAATACTCAAATATATACCCAGATTTCAGAATAAACTTGATTTAAAGGTGGTATGCAAATATCTAGATTTCAGAATAAACTTGATGGAAGATTTAAAGACTCAACAATTAATATTTAATATAAAAAATTAAGGTATGTTATTGCATTTATTAAAACTCAATAAAGTGGCTTACATCACCCAAGAGAGGGCATATTCAGTGAAGTGAATTTTCATCCACTGTTTGGCAGTAAAATTTACCCTACTGTCAGGGCCCATTTAATTAAAGAAGGATGATGGTAACTGATTCATTAATTGACAGTAATTTACCCTACTGTCAGGACCCAACAGTAATTTACATTGGTAAAAATAAGAAAATATAAAATTAATAAATAGTGTGCTTATCTTTTTAGAGTATTTATTTCAATAGATTAGTGAATTTTTGAATGATTATATGAAACCATAATTGTAACAAAATATTTGTTGGTAAATCTAGAAATAACATTAATGAATGATTATGAAAAATTTAATTAGAAATATCATTGCATCTAATCATCAGTGCAGTGAATTTGCATCCACTGTTTGGCAGTAAAATTAACCCTACTATCAGGGCCCATTTAATTAAAGAAGGATGATCATACCTGATTCACTAATTGACAGTAATTTATACTACTGTCATGCCCGATAGTAATTACATTGGTAAGAATAGAAAAATAAGAAAATATATAATTAATAAATAATGTGCTTAATATTTGTTTCAATAGATTAGTGAATTTTTGAATGATTATATGAAACCATAATTGTAACAAAATATTTGATGGTAAGGGTAAATTTTACTACCAAACAGTGGATGCAAATTCAATGCACTGGATATGCCCCCTTTTGGGTGGAGGAAGCCACTTAATTGTGTGTTTCCGCAGTGAAGGACAAGACAAGCTACCAGTTCTAGCACATTTTACATGTATGTCTCTAGGAATTTAGGAGTAAAACAATTAAAGAAATGTTCTCGAAATTTGTTATCAAAGCATTTTTAAAGTAGACTTTGATAATATCCATGTTAGGAAGAGGATTCTTAATATAATACGAATAGCATGCTATTTCGACTTCTCCCTTAACACTCAATCCTAATTGCTATGTATACTTATAAATTAAGATTCTGAATTTTGACCCATAGCAATTATTTTTGTTAATAATCTTCTAAATAACCAATTGCAATGGGATGAATACCACCATATAGTTTTTGTGACACAATCAGGTTGACCCCCTATTTGATTCAAATCTATGTTAGGAGGTCTTTGTTTAAAAGAGTATTTATGAAGGTCTTAAAAACTTTTAAATGATTTTTTGAGATAAGAGAAGTTATATGATATTCATGTGTATATTTAATAGTTACTCATCACCCAATTATATAAAATACCATGATATATTTCTTAAAAAATCATTTATTATTCTAAAACTGGAGATAGAATATACCAAATTTTATTTTTTATTTTAAGAAATATTATTCTATTCTCCAAACAACTTCTCTTTAAATCCAAAAATTTTATAAAATAATAATTACTATTTATTTTAAAAATTTAAATATATTTGAATAAAAATTATGGTAATATTATTTTTCTTTAAATAATATCAAATAATATTCTTTTTAATTTTTTGTTGAACCAGTAATATCAGGATCTTTATATGAAACCATACATCAGTTAAAAAACTCTTAATTCAATACTTGAAAATATTTTTAAGGATAAGAATAATATATTTTTATCAGTAAGAAAAATAGGGATATAGATTAATCTATTACTAGCTATAATTTATTTATAGGTTAAATTCTTAGATTTTTTTATGTAAATAGATTAATATATTCTTAAATAATCAATCAATCATTGACAAAAATGGAGATAGAATAAAACTCAGGTGACAAAATATTTCAATGAGGGATGCCAGGTATAATATATTTAACAACGTGTCTGAGCCAGGACAGGGTTTTTGATAAAAAGCCTAAAAATTTTTCATTTAAATTTAGCATATTAAACTGTTCCTAAATTAAAAATATATTGCATTTTTCTTCTTCTTATAATAATAATATATGTCAGTATTGCAAACAAAGTGATTGCCTAAATACACTTAAATATTGTTTATTTATTCATTTATAACAATAAATTAAATTTTTGGATATAGGCTTGGGCAAAATTTTTGAAACTTATGATGAACTTGGGTTTGAATATTTTATTAAATATGGATTGGGCCTGCAAATTATTTTTACTGCTGACCTGGACTGGAGACTGATGAACAAGTCCCGTGAAGGTCTCTAATTTCAATAACTGAATTATTTTATTTTCCATCTGACTTTTTTTAAACTTAAAGGAATAATCAAACCACAGATATGCCTTATTTAAATCATTTGTAAAAAAATTCCTGATAATTGCTGGATTTAAGAAATTGTTGTACACAAGGAAATAAAGAAAGCCATTGTGAAGTGTATATATGGAAGAAATATTAATCCTTTTTTATTTTAACATAAATAACAAAAAAAAATAATGCCTATTGTGACCTTTTCTTTTACATATATTTTAGGGATTTTCTAAGAACCCATTATCAAGTTACTAGCTGATTATCTATCAGGAATGACGAGGAGATTTTCTTCTTTATTCAAAAATAGATGAATAATAAATTTCCCTTTATTTGATGATGAATGAATCAGAAATTTTCCTATCTTATGAGATGTGATTCAGAAATTTATATTTATTTGGATGAGGAGTTATTCTAAAATTTTCCATTATTTTTATATAAATTATGTTTATGAAGTATAATATGGTTAGTATTTTAATTTATGTGCACAATAAAAAATCTTTTAAACTAAATTTTTATTCATTTGTATTTGTATTTGTAATTTATAATATAAAAAATATATTCTTGCTAGATGAGTTTTGTGTAAAAATAGGAATTTATTATTCATCCATCATTAAATAAATAAGAAAATTCTGATTCCCCGTCATTCTTGACGGGCTATCAGCTAGTTATTAATAAAACTTCACCATATCTTTTCAGAATTATTTTATAATATTCCTAAAAAAGGAATTATTCGAATAATTTGAATCGAATATGAATAGGGCTATTCAATTCGTATTCATTTAAGAATAGGCTTCAATTTATAAAATAAATTATTTATAATTAAATATTAAATTATATAATAAAATGATTTCTTTTTTTTTCTTATTTTTCGTATTATTAGCTTATATTCTAATATAAATCAATTGTATTAAAAACATAATTATAGCCAATGATTTTGTTTCAGAATATTTAAAGAAAGATAGTGAAGAAATTAACAAAAAAAAGAAGAAAGAAACTTGTAGGGCGGGCGAATCGAGGAAAGAAGGCTCTGTGGGGGGTAAGGAAGAGGAGTCAGCATTGGAACTGCAAGAGCTAGATGAAGACGATTTTTTGTGCTCGTGGATTTTAAAATTGGAAGGCGCTTCAGGGATCAGACTGTCGTGGGAACCGAATGTTTTCATCTTTTTGAATGGCTCTGAAAGGTAAGGATGAGCCAGGACTGTGTTCAAGCCCTTTAGTTACCAGAAATAATTTTAAATCATATTTTCGGTTAACAAAAATATTTTCGCCGTTATCTAAACATTCAATTTTTAAGTTTTCTTTCAATCTTCGATGAAAATAGTTAAATTTTTCAAACGTGTCTTCTTTTTTAACCCGAGTCCAAATTTTGTATTAATTTTTTGAGCCAGATCCCAATTTTTTTTATTTTAGATCAGTGCTCGGCCCGAAATTTCCATTTGAAAAATATAACACGTATTCATAAAAAAATTTACCAATTAAGTGGTCCTAATCCCATAAAATATTTCAAATATATTTTAATATAACAAGAGGCAAAATTAATTTCAATTCTCCTTCTTCAAGCTCGAGCCCGGTCCTTTAAAAAAAAAATAGGTACAAGCCCATCGATCTTTTTTTATTTGGCAGATTCGTACTGATAATTAGTGATCAACGGTCCAGTCCAGATGATCTTTTTTCGAGGATCACAGTCCGGATCGATCTCTTTTAGGGTCCAGACCACGGTCGGGTATTTTAGTAATTTAAGTTTGCTTTATTTTTTAATTAACATAATTTTTTAACCAATCTTTTGTATGTTTTAATTTATTTCGTTTTTATGAATTTTTACTTTGCAATATGGATGGAAACCATAAGTTAGTCAAAGAAGCATTTCACATATATTCCCAATAAACAAGATTAAATTAAGGACCATGGCCTATAAGATCTTTTTAAAGACCGCAATCCGGTCCGATCCGATGGCATCGACCCTGTCTGGACCATGACCTTCCCTATTGACAATCTGTCTAGAAAAATGAAGAAGTAATTTATGTAAAGTATAGTTTCTTAAAATATGAAGCACCTTAAAAAATTTAGCCAGCGAGCAGGTCTGATAATGAGAAACGAGTTCAACTATGCTGGCAAAATAATGGTGATCTGATATGTAATAACCTTTGGGCTCATTTTTCAATATTTTTATGTGTTTAACGTCGTCGAAATACCTAAAAAATAATAATTTTAAAATATTTATTACTAGAATGTGAAGCCTTCGACATAAAAACAGGGCCTGGGTTCAGAGTTTGGAGAGCATAAAAAAATAGTAACTCATTATTAATAAAATAACAATTTTTTTTTTATTATACTCCATATAAACATAATTTAATAGTAAAAAATTTAAAAATCATTTATCTTATAATCATTTTAATTTTTTATATTATGTAATCCAAAAAGGACTCACAAACAAAAATAAACAAGCCAAAACTATTTATCAGACTTTATAATTATATTCACATAATTGCTTAAATTTTAATTAAAATTAAAAATTAAATATCTAGGTATATTGGATTTTATTTTATTTTCTTGATTTTATATTTCTGTCCCAATATTTTACTTTCTATTATCATTTATATGAAAAATGCAGAAAAAATGTGAAATAATTCCACGAAATTTCATTAATCTCTTTTATAATTTTCGGAAAGGAGGCTTTTAATTTCATCAAAGCTAAAAAAAGGAGACATTATAGGTGATTTAAATATATATAATTTTATTTTGATTTAATCTATATTGCATCGTATTCTTATTTTTAAATAAAATTTTAAAAATCATAAGATACAATCGAAAATATGAATATCTAATTAAGAAAGTTTTCATGGCCCGTTGACCGGTCTATTGTTTTGAATTTTTTTTTAATACCGGAAATAATAACGTAAAAAAAGAAGGGATATAAAATAATTTATATTATGAAATTAAAGAAAAATTTAAATTGGTACAAGAAATATTTTTTCATCATATTTAAAGACAAGCGGGGAAACTCTTGCCCTGAGAATGGACTCGCTAGTAGTCTGTCTTATCGTCGGTAGTATGATAATAACATTATAGAATGTGAATAAAGTCTTTTATTAAATAACAAATTGTATGATGTTAAAAAATAACTGATTGTATTTTATAATATAATATAAGAACTCTTTTTATATCCAAAGTAAATCAATTATGTAAAATATATATCATACAAAATAACGTTTTCTATATCCAATTTACATAATAAAATTTAATTTAATATATATCACATGATTGCCTTAAACCTGCATTATCTAAAATTAAAAAGTATATTAACACAATAAAAATATATCGTTACTAATATGTAACATGCATCACTTCCAAAAAAAAAAATTAGTATCGAGGGAAAAATGGTAATGGGAATTAATTTTGGGAAAACAATCATAAAAACTGGGGAAAGTAGGCGATAAATATAATAACAAGAATTAAACATTTGTTATACGGGGTATGGACACAGATGTTATATAAAATTGAGAAGATATTAGGGAGAAATTGTTAAATAACAATAATTAGTATACAAACAAATCAAATAAATTGGGAGGGGAGGGGTCAAACTAGCAATACAATATAGTTTTATTTTTCGTAATTATACCCATGACTTAAGCATATATAAGAAGTGTATAATTTACACTATAATTGTGCTAGTAGTTATCCATAATAGTTTTTTTTGTAATTATACCCTTAACTTAAAAAGGTATAAATTACACTATATATGGTTAATGGGGAGGGGCCAACCTAAAATAGAATATATATTCAGATCTTTTATAAAATAAATATATATTAAATAAAGATTTCACAAGTCATTTTCGAAACTATAATATAAGAAAGGTAAATTTAATAGAAAATATAATAAACAACGAAAAAATAAGTTATAAATTATCATAATTTGACCTGTTTACCTAAGAAGAAATTGTGTATTTTTAGCTCATTCAAAAGATAAAAATTAATTTAATAAAAAAACGGAATTTTATTTTAATTTTTTTTATAAATTGCAAATGTGTTATTTTATTTATATTTAAAACAAAATATTTATATCTACAATGTTTTTTTTTTAAAGGGGATAAACTTTATTCAGTAAAAAAATTAAAACATGAACATTTATATACACTATTGAATTAAAAATCTATATTAAAAACAAAAAAATCAATATAAAAACATATAATTAAAAGAAGGGAAATTAAGAAAAAAAAAAATTAAAAAATTATTTAAAAAAAAAAAAGAAAAAAGAGGGATATCTAATTAGGTGTGGTCCACGGGGCTTAATGACCCATAAATGGATATACAGTTTGAACGGCAGATTTCGATTGAAATCCTTTGGCGGAGGTAGAAACCTTTTTTCGGATCACCTGTGATTAATCGTAACTTTGCCCTATTGTTTTGAATAATTTTAAGGCTTGGGGTCCGAATGATCCACAGGTGTCTGAGACTACCGGAGGGAATAAAATATTATTAAGGTGGCAATATTTATTTGTTTTTGTATTCTCCGCTTTTGAGATGGAGTTGGCAGAAAAAGATCTGGCAAAACGATCAACGCAGGTATAGTCCCAAGCGAGAGGTAAACCTTGGTTCCAAGGGACTAACGTCAAACCATCCGGTCTGGTTTGATTATCGGAGCTAAGACCGGTAGGTTCCAGTGTGGAGGGAATATTTGTAAATCTCAGCGTTCTATTGATTATTGAATTAATGGCATAATGTCTAGGAAGTCTGCCTTTTGAGAAACGACAGTGTAGGGGGTGGTGTCCTAGACTATCAATGTGAGATTCACATAGGACACAAGTCGTAGGGGTTACGATATCGCAGCCTAAGCGAAGGCCTATAGCTATTCTGAGTTCTTCGTTGGTAAGTAGTAGGCCTAGATTAGAGCTAGGGATAGTTTCTAACCATTTATATCCAAGATGGCATATGGGTGGAGCTGGATTTATTTGATCTGATAAAAGGGTCGTATTATGGACATCGAGTATGCATGGGGTTGAGCTTGGGTGGAGAAAAAGAGATGGAGATTTTCTTTGAACAGCTTTGAAGTGTAAGTAATCGACGCAATGCTGTATCAATGGCAAATTCCAGTCTCTTTGTCTTATAGAATTGAGATGTGAACCGTTTGGGGCGTTTTTTTTCCATAGATCTAATGCTATCGTGTGATGTGGGTCGATAGTATCCAAGTCTCCGAGTGTGTGACGAAATTTAGCAACTGACGATAGGAAGGCTGAGATGCTCAAGGAGATGGGGGATTGGATGCCTATACCTCCTAGTTTTGGTGGAAGGGCAGCTTGCATCCAGGAGAGTGATGTGAATTTAATGTTTAAAATGGATTCTAGGGTAATTTTTAAATGGACTTCGAGGTCCAATAGTATTTCAGGGGATGTGGATTGTCGATGAACGGAAGGTATGTAAAATCTTTGGGATGAATAAAAATTTTTTAAGCAAATAAAAAGCCTGATGGGCAGGTAAATGTTTTAAAATATTTGTCATTCTATTGAATTTGACAAGGAATTCATCTCTAAAATGAAATTTTGCATTTTCTCCTCCAATGGGTGAACCTAGATGGGTAAAGCTAGCTTTGTTTACTGTGATAAAATTTTTAGGAGGGCAGTCTGATTCACATCTCCTTGAGCATCTCAGCCTTCTTATCCTAAGTTGCTAAATTTCGTCATACACTCGGAGATTTGGATACTATCGACCCACATCACACGATAGCATTAGATCTATGGAAAAAAACGCCCCAAACGGCTGACATCCCAATTCTATAAGACAAAGAGACTGGAATTTGCCACTGATACAGCATTGCGTCGATTACTTACACTTCAAAGCTGTTCAAAGAAAATCTCCATCTCTTTTTCTCCACCCAAGCTCAACCCCATGCATACTCGATGTCCATAGTTTAATGATTTAATGAAACATATTGACGATTCAATTTAAACACATGCATATATAATTATAATCTTTACAAATGTACAACAAAAGAAATAATAAAAAAAATTTCAGTAATGCTTTGTCTATATCTTAATTATTTTTGCAAATATTATAATTTTATATGAATGGGTTTAAATTTAATCAATCTGTTTGATTAAATTATCACAACACTGTAGGATGGGATGGGTTTTTATTTAATCATCAACATGTTACATTAAATAATCACAACACAATTAAGTTATGTAGTTGTTTATTTTTATATTTAAAATTTTTTAAAAAAAATATTATATATTAAAAATAATTGTTAATATATACAGTAATAATGATTTGTTGTAACACATTTCCATAATGTAAAAAAACATTCTTATATAGTTAAATTTCTATAATTATTGTAAAAAACATTTTGATATAATTTTTTAAAATAAAATAATAAGTTTTTAAATTTTAATGTAGACTAACGTCAAAGTTATGAATTGAATCAGTAGCGCCCCCCCCCCCCATAATTTCTGAAAAATTTCTTTTCTTTTCTTATTGCTAATAATTTTATTTAAAAAAAGGTTTCAATTTATAAATAAAATTATATACGATATGAATGAAATATATTTGAAAAAACAAATCAGAATTTTTAATGACAACATGGTTTAAAAATATATATTAAAAATAATATGTAAAATATTAAATAACAATAAAAATATATTGTAAATTTATAATTTTTAAATAAAAGAAAAATCATTTAATTGGTAAATATAATGAGAAAATAAAGGTGATCGCTAATATGTTTGGGATTAAAATTATAAACCTAGAGTAGTTTCTAGATCAATTGCTTAAATGTTGATGCATCTACGATTGATAATTTTTATAAAATAAATATTTTTATTCCCATTATTGATACATTTTTATTTGAATTAAAGGAAAGATTTATTAGTCACAATTTTATTTTAAACAGCTTTTATTTTCTTTTGCCGGTTGAGTCTGAATACACTTTCTCAGAGTTTTATTTTGATGAATTATTAGGATCGTATGATAAGTTACTTTGTGATGTCGAATTTTGGTATAAAAATTTTGACAGAATAAAGTACTCTTTGGGACCAAAATATGCTTTGGAGGCCTTTTCCATAGGTAAATGCACTTTAGATTCCCTGCCTAATATCAAAACATTGCTTTTTATTTTAGCTACCTTATTAACACCTGCACTAATGAAAGGTCTTTTTCAACTTTGAAAAGGCTAAAAACCAATTTAAGAAATAGCACCGATGAAAGCCGTTTAAATGGATTCGCAATATTAAATATATATAAGGAGATTATTCTAGATAAAAATTTGATTCTAGATGAATTAGTCAAATCTCAGAGAAAAGTAGACCTCTCTTTATAAATTCAAATCATAAAATTGCTATATTATTATAATATGTCCTTAGTCATAAAATTTTTAAATTCAAAACGTAATTATAATGAATTCTTAGTCATAATATTTATATATTATACTATTTTTAATAAAAATATCGCATTTAAGAATTAGTGATCTGCATCGGGCCTAATTTTTCAAGCCCGGCCCTGCCCGAAATTATTTTAAAAAAGTCCGAATTTTTTTTAAAAAAGTTTTGTCGGCCGAACCCGAATTTATTTAAATATTGAAATTCATTTTTATAAATAAAATCAAATATTTTTATTTTACATAAAAAATTTAACATAAAATTGATATATTTTAAAAAAATTCCAAGGCTCTACGCAACCCGGCCCGATTTTTTTTAAAAAAAATATTATGCCCGACCCAGTCCGAACTTTTTTTTAAAAAATATTAGGCCCGACCCAGCCCGAACCCGATTTTCTTACTTTTGTAGATCTCTAATAAGAATTTTTTATGTTTTGTTAATATACTCATTTGTATTAATTATAATTGTTTAGATTTTTTTAAATACCGTACAAGAATTACTTACATTTTATTGTGATTTATTTTTTTTAAATATAGTTATTTAGAATAAATTTTTAATCTAATCTGTATAAAATTTCTACAATTTGAAATTTATTTTATTGTATATTATTACATAGAATAAGATATATTAAGTGATCATAAAAAATGGGAAATTTGGGGGGCGATTTTATTCTTCTTTCTCTGAATGGATTGAATTAATTTACATGAGACTAAACATTGATAAAATTTTCAGAATAATGTTTTCAGTCGTATTAATCATAAATTTGGCCAAAATTTTGTTACTAAATTTTTTTTTCATGTAGGCAGGCTACTATTGTTGTTAGACACTAATAATGCACAATGGCAAGTTTTTAAGGGGTTTGGGGGCGAAGGCCCCAGAATTTTTTTAACCCCCCCCCCCCCATGGATCAATCCTGGCTATGCTACTGAATCGAATATAGTTTTTATGTTTTGGACACAAGTTTAAGTGGTGGGAAAATGAGAATTTTAAAAAAAAAAATTTTAAGATTTTTACAATAACTTTTTTTAAAATATACATTATAAATTTTTTTCAATTTAAAATATTAATTCCAATATTTTAATTTTACTTTAAGATATCTAAAGATTGGAACTCAGGTTATGAAATATGAGTAATTTCTTAATAAACATGAATTGAAAATTCAAATTTAGTGATTTCACTTCATTCTTTAGATTTATTTATGATCAATTCGAGACACCTTAAAAAAAACCATTATTTATTTATCCTATATAAATAAAATATATGTACAAATCAATTAAAAATTCATCCATTTAAAGGAATACATCAAATTCCATCTTCAATGAATTTTGTGGTGTGAGAATAAAAATTTGAAAAATTGTATGTAAAATAACTGCTCAAAATACTCGTAACAATATCAATAACTTCTATTCGGTTTGATTTAAGAGAAATCGATTGGTTTTGATTTTTAATAACTCCGAAAAAATTTCTGATCGTATTATATTGTGGCGAATAGGGTGGTAAAAATATGATATTTGGATAATTTTCACTAATTTTTGCTCGATGAATAGGAGCATTATCCATTATTAGCAATTAATTTGATGGTAAAATATAATTTATCGAGGTATGTTTTGAATTTTATGGCAGTGAAAGCCCCATCTATAATTGTAAAATTTTTCGATCCACTTATTCCTATTATGTATAAAACTGATATATTTTTTTCTTTGGAAGGAGTAACAGATGGCCTTTTTCCAAAGGGTGCCCACCTATAGTGCGAAATTATATGGGTATTAAACCCTCTTTCGTCTAGGAAGAAGCATTTTCAAAAGAAATATTTTTCATCTTGTCACAATATTCCTTTCGAGTTTGAATTATATCTGAAGCATTTCTCCTATCGGGTTCTTTTCCAACCCTTTTCCGGCTCCAACTCAATAATTTAATACATTTTGATATAGCTGACTCGCCCAACTTTATGGCGGTAATGTTCTATTATGTTTTTAATGGTGTAGCCGTTATTATTAGTAAACAATTCTGCTATATTCGATTGAAGTTCTGTGTTGTCTTTCTTCTTCCGACTTCGTTGTTTTATTATGTAATCAGATAAAGGGTCGTCCTAATAATACTCGCCGAAAAATATGATAAAATACGAAATAATCAATTTTTTGTATATACCAGGTCGAATATAATTTTAAAAAATCCAAATTTTTTTTTTAAATATCCGGGCCGAGCCTAAAATTTTTGAACCAGGGCCAGGTCGGGCCGTAAAAAATTTTTGAAAAAAATCAGGGCCGGGACGAAAATTCTTTAATCTGGGCTGGGCCGTACAAATGGTACCTCTGCAGATAGAAATATTAATAGTTGTTAACAATTAATGAATAAATAAAATAATTATCTAAAAGAATGATTAAAAAAGGGACAATAAAAATAAAATACTAAATATATATTAAATACAGATGAGGAGTGCTAGAAAATTCACCCGCCCGCTCATAGTTTTGATTATTATTTGCCTTTCTTATATAAAATTCAAATATTGGTTAAGATATTCTAAATATTCAGATACCTGCTAAATATTTTATTATTTGAGAATACAGTATTCAATCAAAAAATGTAAATAAGAACTTATTTGATCAATAAAATGTGGAATAAGATAATGAAGTATCAAATTTGTTTTGGATAAAATGTTAATTTAAATCAGCTAAATTCGAGCCATTTAGCAACACTAATTATTTAGCCTAAAGTAACATGCAAAATTGAACTCGATATCATTTGAATATTCACGAATCAAATTGGAAGTATATAGTAAAAAATAATTGTTTTGTCAATTAAAATAACTATTTTAAAATATTCGTCCTCTAATCGACTCAAGTTGGAAGTTTAAAGTAAAAAATGTAAAAAACAAATATCTTTAATAATAACTAATTTAAAATATTCGTCCTCTAGGCGAATCAAGTCTATATAACTATTCGTCCTCTAGTCGGCTCCTTTATATAATTCGTATTCATGTCTCAAGTTAGAAGTCTAAAAAGCAGGACAAATATCTTAAATAATAATAATAACTAATTTGATATATTAGTCCTCTATTCGACTTAATTTGACGACTCAAGTTCATAGAACTATTCGTCCTCTAATCGACTCAAGTATATAATTCGTATTCACGACTCAAATTGGAAGTATTAAGTAAAAAATAATTGTTTTGTCTATTAATAATAAAAAATAATATGAAATATTCGTCCTCTAGTCCACTCATGTTCACGCCTCGAGTCGACTTGAGTTCACGACCCAAGTTCATAACTCAAGTCAGTTGATTAGTCAGTTTTCGACTCAGTCGATTAACAACACTAGTCGTCGATATATACTATTAAAAGAATTAATTTCTAAAAAAATAAAGAGCAAAGTAGCAAAGTTATTTTATGACAGTAGCTATTAGCTATAAGTTGTGGTATTTTTTTGGAAAATAGGGGCAGCGCAGTTTTTTTTGAAATTTATATGCAGAGGTTGCGCGCTACTCTAAATAAAATATTGTCAAAATTAATCATGTTAAAAAGTAATGGACAATGAATGCAAAATATAAATAAATAAAATAATTTAACTTTAGAGTTATAACCGGGTTACCGCCTTGTTGGGAGCTGAATCTAACTAGAAAGGTACCTGAGGGACATGATTGTAGTAAAAGTTTAGCCTTTTCTCGATTCATATCCCCTATAAACCTTAAAAACATAAAAATAAATTTATCAAAAAGAAAACCTTAAAAAACGTTTTATTTTCGATAATTTTTCTCGTATATATCCCCCCCCCCACCACCCCCATAAAAATAAATTTAAGAAGATAAGTATATAGCAATTTTTTTTTAAAGTTTGGAAGTTAAGAAAAATCTCCATACGTAAAAAAAATTGCAATGGATATTGTTAAATAATTCATCCTTGTTTAAAAATTTATAAAAATATTCCACGTTAAATTTGTGGTTTAATAAAAAGAATGAAATATTTTAAATCAGGAATTCGAAGAGTTATGCATAATGGTTAAGGTATGGTTGGATAAACGTCGACTGTTAAAATTTATAGTGGTGTTTCGGTTACGTCTCGATTTTCATTATAACGATTCATTTCCGTTTTGATTTTTTGAATGGTAATTACTATAAAAATCGAGTTGCAAAAAGTATTTGTCAAAGTATTTATTTGTCCAAAAAGTATTGGTAGAAATATTTATATTTAAATAATTGAAAATATTTGTAGGTATTTAGTATTTATAATTAAAATTAATTTTTTAGCCTGTTATGAAACCTTAACTAGTTACATACTTAAAAAGGTAACGTAGCGTTATATTTTGTAACGTGTTATATTATCCGTACATTATAAATCATTTATATAACGAATCTTTTTATTTAATATAAAAATAATTACACTGAAAAAAATACCAGAGAATAGAATATATTTAATAAAAATAAAATATATATCATATACTTGTACTAATTATTTTTTAAAAATTCGGGTTTCCCCATTTCGTTATATGGGATATGGTAGTTAACATTTTAATCTTTTTTTACTTAGTTAAGATGAGGTCCAGATTTATTTTGGAAATTCAACAAAGTTAACATTTTGATATGACAATGTTGTAAGCTTTCTTGTAATCATCATTCTCTAAAATGATCTGTTGGCAACTTGTGTAGCCACTAAGTTAAATGTAAGACAAGAAGAACCGTGACTGGAAAGGAGCCCAAGTCACTTAAATCACAATTGGTTAACACAGAAAAAACAGCTGTTGTGGAAACAAAATTGGGCTCGATTTGAATAACATACTATAATAGGTTTGTATGCACATTATTTTCATTTAGACTTCAGAGTATTTCTTAACTCAATAAATTCATCATTACAGGATTTCTATTTGTTTTAATTTATTTGATGTTGCCGATTTTTTTTACTTCCTTTATTTTTAAAGATAGGTATGGTATGATGTGTTCTCAAAAAATATATATTATATATATATAAATATTTAATTTATATCAATTATTTATAAAAAGCTAGTTTATAAGAATTCAATGTAATATTAAACAAAAAAATCTTGTTAGATACATCTAACTAAAACTTAAACATTTATTAAGGACAAGTTGTTTTGGTAATAGTTGTAGAAAGCAATGGCGTATGCAGCCCCCCCCCCCCTTACCCAAAGCAAAAATGCTGATGCCGGAAATATTTTTCAAAAATATTATTGTTTTATATTAAATTATATATTATAATAATCATTCCTATTTCTTATAAATTTATATATAATTATATTTATTTATCATATTCATCTACTAATTTATTCCATGAATTAATTTCTCAAATTTTCTTTGGCGTAATATGTATCTACAATTTTTAAATTTTTCGTCAAATAATTTAAATTTTTTTTAACTTTTAAATTATGGAAATTTTTTACATATATTGATGATATGATATAGAAGATAATTTTTTAAATATTTTATTTACTCCTATTAATTAAAATCCCTCCTCTAAAAATACAAATAATGGAACTACAAATGGAAGAATAATTGATGATATAGATAAAAGTCAAGATATCAGCAATAAATAATAAATTGTAACAATTATATTTTATGAATAAACCTATTTGTGAAGTGTTATTATAATATACATAATATTTTATTATTTTCACAATACAAAACTAGAGCACAATGATCATTTATACGATATAGCCAATTTTTTGATAAAGATAATATTAGCTTAGAAAAAAAGCGTAAACTTCTTAAATAATAGATTTATTTTACCCCTCAATCAATATCCAGAAACTATTTGTGCTAATAGAAAGTTAAAATTTCAAACCTGCTATTTTATCAGATGGTTGTGGTTTGCAAACTCTTTTCGAGATAATGGAGCATATTGCAAGATATGTCTTGTTTGGCCCTAAATATGCCGGAAGAAATTTAATTAAGTTTAACAATCTTGTTAAAACTCCATTAAACAGTTACAAAGATGCCGAAAAAATCTGCAACAACCATCAAAAAACAAATTATCATAAAATCTGTGGACTTGCCTTGACCAAGTTTTGAAAATATTTTAAATTTCACAAAGAGATGACTGGTAGTAAGGCAATATTATTATTAAATATATACCATGTCTTCCAAAAACACAGCTAATAAAACACATCTCTGTAAGTTTATTTTCACATAACTATATATATAACAAGATTTTTGTTTTGCCTAATATTTTTTATGAATAATTAATATAAAAAATATTTTTTTAAAGAAAACATCATAACCTTAAATATAACACAAATATAGATAATAAGTAAAATAATTCGGCCACGTCAAATAAATTAAAACAAACTAAAATTAATTTTAGTGGGAAAACAAAGTTTAAAGGATCAGCAAGGATAAATTAGATTTACAGATTGAGGAAATTTAAATAAAAAAGAAAATATACTAGTCAAATTAATACTTATGTCTTGATAATATGTGTTATAATTTGTATTGGGCATCTTAGAATTTTTATATTTGCGTAACAATTAGGTCAGGAATAGTTATAAGATATTGTAAAATTTAATATCTTCAAAATTAGACATGATTAAACATAAAATATATTTCTTGATTCATATATAGATCTTCCTTTAGGTATAAAAGATTTGTTCTAGCATATGTATTATTTAAAATATATTAAGCCAGTGATATATTATCTTTGTTTTTTTACAAAAGCAAACTATACCTTTGCTTATCTTTTATTATGCAAATAGCTCCTTGGTGTAACAGTGCGTTGGATGGCTGACTCTGGCATTCAGCTATTTTAGCCTGTCAAAGACTTACGTGCAGGCATACATATAATATAATCAACAAAGCCTTACTTCCTGTTTTTAAGGAGTATCACATCCAAAATAAAAATATAGCTATTTAGCCTGTCAAAGACTTACGTGCAGGCATACATATAATGTAATCAACAAAGCTTTACTTGCTGTTTTTAAGGAGTATCACATCCAAAATAAAAATATATCAGATAATGCAACAAATTTTTTAAAGGCTTTTCGGTATGCGTAACTTTTTTAATATATTTTTTAAAATATCTAGCACCCCGTTAATGGAGGAAAATAATAATTCAGACATTGAATGCATCTCAATACAAGATATAATGTCGTATTCTGAGCTAACTAATTATGATATAAATGACCTTGGCTACCTTCCTAGGCACCGAAGATGTTCTTGCCATAAATTAAATTTGGCAACACAGATGCAACATCCTTTTAAATGATGATTATAAGATAGCATATAACATTGCTATATCAAAATGCCAAAGTTTGTGGAATCTAAAAAATAAACTTGAAGAGATTAAATTCTCAACTTCCATATCCCGTATAATCAAGTGGGGTACTTTTTATAAATCTCTGGTTAAAATATTACCATTCTTAAATGAAGTGCCTATAAAATTTGATTTATTATGTGATAAATTAAAGTTGTGTAGATTCACATCACATGTAAATGATTTTATAAAAGAATATTGTAGTGTAATTTTAAATCAATCTTTTTTAGAAAATTACAACTTAAAAATTAGATTATGCAACCAGTGACTAAAGCTATTAATATACTTGGAGAAAAATACATGATATCTGGGTTATTATACACCACCAATAACACATATACTTATATTCCTAGAAGATGTGCAAATTTTGTCAACCTTTAAAGAATGTTATATTTGCTAGCATTAAAAAAAGGTAATTTAAATTAAATAATTATTTATATATTAATAATATAATGTTATCGGGTTAAAGATCTTTATGATAGTGAAAATATTATTGCTGCAATTCTTCATCCATTATTTAAAACTGACTGGCCTTGGATAAGGCAAGAAGAAAGTAATTAGAGCGGAAATATTAAACATGCCTGAGACAAGTGAATCATGCCCGAAACCCCTATCATTTGATGATATTAAATTTTTTGACCAAAAAAGACAAAATATTGTTGATAATGAAGGTACATAAAATTTCACATAATCCAATAATAATACATTATCTTTATATGATGATTATCCAAATTTAAAAAACCTTTAATTAAATATAATGTTGTCTTTACATCAAGTGCTCCTGTAAAACGTTCATTCAGCTAAAATTCCTTTTAATAGGAAAAATCTCTAACTCGGCTCAAAACAGTGTAGTTGTTGTAATTATATATATATTTTTAAATTTACTTGCTGAATAAAAAAATAATAATGAGCCAATCCTCCAGACGGTGCATATTTTAAGGAGGTACTTTAAGAAGCTTCTCGCTATAAGGGTTTGAATTATTTTATATAAGATATCACAAATTTTTTTAAAAACCCTAATAAACTTTTGTATTTATTTTCTCTCAAATTGTAAAGTTAATAATTTATAAGCCTTAATGTAACCATTATACATAAGGGTTCAAGTTCCTTGTATTAATTATTTTATTAAACCATGATTTGGCATTCAAGTTGAGATTATAATAATTTTTGGAAATTTGATTGTTGATATTCGGCGATTTACTATGACCAATCTATTTATAATTTTTTTAAAGTTTAAAAAAATATAAGTTTTTTTGATATTATGAATAGAAGGAAAGAAACATAAATTAAAGAATGAGGAGGTGCGTTTTTAAAATATTATTATAAAAAAATACCAAGAATATACTAGGGGAGATATGGATCGGGTGGTAAAGATTTCGCTATATCGTGATAAAATTTTTAATTGGCTTCAACGGAATTTAATATGTTACAAAACAAAGGAGAATGACTTACTCATATAGTGTGGGCAATATTTAAGATTTAGTAAAGGTCATTTTTTTGCCATCATGCGTCATGGCTGGGTTAGATCGCAAGGTACATGAGGTAAAAGGGAAAACATAAATTAAAAACAAGAAAAACACATTTTTATTATTGGATAAAATTGGCAATTTATAGGTAGTAATTCAATTACAAAAAAATCAAACAGAGTCAGTTACTGCCACAATTTGCGTGTGACTATTTCCAACCTTGTACATTGGATCCAATATTCCCTCTCCTTTATTTTGGTTAAAGATAGGCAAAAATATTCAATTTTTCTTATTTTATTTTGATTAAAAAATTTGTCAAGACGAGGCTATTATCTCATCCATTTTTAGTTGACAATAACCCCTTATCACTCAACCCCGGTGGTAATGGCCGACTTTATTTCGTTATAGCGTCTTTTCTATAAAAATTAAAAAAAATTGGAAACAAGTTTAATCAGTAGTTAAAGCTTATAAAATATATTAGAAATTTTGTAAAATTTAAAATGATTATTTTGTTTAAAATAAAAAACAAAACTACTCGTTTTTTTGGTAATGATAAAAAAACACTTCCTATTTCCCCAAAATTTAACCATAGATAACATGCATAAAAACATATTTTTAAATGTCTAGTCTTTAGAGAAAAAAGCTATATGCATTTACTTCTCACCTCGTTTGCCACCCATCCCTGGTCTTCCCTAAAAACCAAGAGAAGATGATCATACCCTCATTTGGCATTAGTTATGACTATTTAAAACAATGACTATAACTCGAAATTTTTAAAAAATTACTATCTAGCTAAAAGTTTATAAAAAATGGGCCTAAAACTCTCTATTAAAGTGTATGGTAAAAAAAAACTACCCAGTCGCCTTTACGAAAATCATGAAGATAACTATGTCTAGAGGTGTAAACAGGAGATTTCAACTGAACAAATAGTTACAGAAAAATTTAAATAACCAAGGGACTCATTAAAATTACTTCGATAGAGCTTTGATGCCTGCGTGGTGTGTTGTGAGTAGTTGATGAAGAACCATTTATAGGTAAGGTGTCTTTAGGCTTTTCTAAATAATTTTTAGCTATTTTCGACTCTTTATTAGGCAAATCTTGTACATATTTTTTTAGTCGCATCAAAATAACAATTATCTGAGATGATTAATTAGGTCAAAATATATTATTAAATAGAACATATTCTTGACTATAATAATTATTCTTTAGAAGATAACAACTAATATTTTGTAATTAATATTGATGTTGATGCTAGTATAAAATATTTAAAGAATAACGTATAAACTATGTTTTTGAAATCAGCATGAATACTTACTTATAGAAGCTAAAGAAAATTTAATCAGACTAGTATCTTTTGATAGAACAATCGATTTTTAATTTGATTTAAGATTTTGATAAATAAAGTAAAATTAACTAACCATCGAAAGCCCGTATCGGCACGACAGGCGGCTGAGATGTATGGGAATCGGCCATCAAATTGTTTTGAATTGGTTCTTCAATATTTAAATAAATATTATAATATACCCTACTTATATAAAAACATTTAAATTAATATTAAAATAATAATAACTTAGGCAAGAATAAGTGGAAGGCAATTTGGAGACTTTTCTTACCGCCAATAACCACAATGTCATAGCAGCGAAACCTAACTTAAAATTCGAAACTGTAGCAGCATCAGTGCCAAACATTTTGATATATTGGCAGGAGTGTCACTAGCCTTCACTATCTCAGGGGACTCAAAAATATTATTTAAAAATTACCTTTTTTTTAGCTAACTTACAAGAGGTATTAAAAAAATTAAATATTTTGCGGAAGCTCTTCGAATTTTTCAGGGGACTTAGCCCCTGAGCGCCCCCTCCCGCTATTGTATATTGGTTTGGTTAAAGAAGATAAAATTATAACGGTTTAAGTTCAGTTCAGGAAAAGAATTAAATTTTTTAAATGTTAAGATTTGGTCTAAAATTTTTTAATGAAGGTTCAGTAATTATTATCTTTATATATAAGGTATACATATGTAGCTCTATAAATAATTTTATCTTATTTTATGATATAAAAAAATTTCATTGTCAATTTTTATTTGTATAAAATATCACCCAATATATTATATCTTTTTCCAATCCTGTTTTCTCTGAGAATAGAATATACATCAATAATTAAAATACTCTCTCGTCCAAAACCCGAGTATCTGGGACAAACATGGATATTCCTGCTAATAGATAGTCCCGGCTAGGGTTTAAAAATGTATCCATTCGATGCCGTTAAAGAATTTATAGGGTACTTACTAATTGTTCTTGTTTTGCTGCATAGTGTGCCGAATTTTGACTTTTGTTATTTTCCTTCATTCTATAATGATTCAAAATGGTCCTCGGAGTTGGAATAATAATATTAACTTGAACTTAAGAAAAGAAATGTTTTGTCTATCATTATACATTCATCAAGTGCATTAATACAAGTTTGTATAAGATCAGTGAATGTTGCTTAAAATCGTGGAGGGGGGGGGGCTATGATTTATTAAATATATTATCAAAAAATATGATAAATATAAAATCGACTTTTTTTTATTGCAAACATAAATTTTCATTTCTTAGTTCTGGGCTGTATTTTTCTTTAAAAAGATTTCATTAGCCTATGATGATTTCTTTTCCATATTTTGATATATAGATCTGGAATCCATTCCGATATGGAAAGTCCATTAATATTTATGAACATTAAATTTGAGGAATTATTTACTCTTAAACTCGTTCGTTTATCCACCATAATCAAAATCATAAGAAGAAAGCCCTTTCTTTTCAAACTCAGCTATAGGATAAAGAATTCAAATAGTAAATATTTAAAAAAAAATTCATTAGTAATATCATCAACGATATATTGTCAAAGCTCATCATATTTATTTATTTCGCCAAATCGTGCATCTAGGTTTTTAGGCCAATTCCTTTTTGAATAAAGTATATATTAAAAAGAATTTCTAAAATAAATAATTTAATTAAAATTTATTAATTCTCGTTTTCAAGGCTATACATTAGAGAGGTCTTCATGATGCTTTCTAGAGAAATTATAAATTATTTTATTTTTAATCTTAATAGTTTTGGATTTATTTCAATGGTAGATTTTTTAATAAAAGTGGAATTTTTGAATCGAGCGACATCCGTAAATATTTGCCTACATACAACGTCTACATGAGTGAGAGGGTAGGAGCGACTTGCCTCCATTTTTTTGAAGTGAGGGGAGGGGGGGGGGTAGGTATTCAAAAGATTTGTAGATTAAAGATAAATGATATAAATTCATTAATAAATATTTATTTCTCATTCATTCACAGATGCCATTTTAGTCGTATTTGAAATTATAAAGACTCATGGCTAATATTTAGAATACGGTTAGTAACTGTTGAAGTGATCGATTTTGTTTTATGTCCTTAAGATATTTTAAGTAAAGTTTTAAAATTTATATTTTTTTTTGTTAAACGAATTAACATGATTTAATTATATCAAAATTAACTTTTACTTTTTGCTAAATGATCGATTAACTTAAACGATTTATAGCATAATATATAAGCAGAGAAAAATGCGATTATAGAGAAACAAACATTGTACAAACGTTATAAAAAATTTTTTTTGGTATGTAACTTTATTTTTATTCGTATTTACATAATTCAAAATAAAAGGATAAAACGATAAATTTATCCCTAGCTCATTTTTCCTTCAGTAACAACTCGGTGATTATTACCAACTGATGTATTACGGGTCTAAAAAATTAGAATTGTTTTGATGGTGGCTCATCATAAGATTTTAAAATTAATATCATGGGGTTGTTAGAGAATAATGGGTGACTAGATATCGCAGCCGAAGGGTACGGAAATTTTTTTGGGGGTAGGGGCAGATTTGGGAGGTTTTCGCCCTCAATAAATTTTCTGTCATGTAAACGCTGCCTACATAATATTTTATTATTGTCAACATGTTCCTAATGATTTATTTTCTTATATATTAGTCAATCAATAAACAATTGACAAAAGAATACCTAAGAACATAAAAAAATCGCAATTTATTATATCTTTCATAGTAAATTGATTTATCCTAACAACCTAAATATTTTAACATTTCAAATTCCTATTTAAACATTTAAAAGATTTTGATAAAATTAGGCTATTTCTTCCCTAGCGAAATCCTGACAGTCGAAAAAATTCCCTAAGCCTTTTGGATAGAGTATATTTTTTTCAGAATTAAACTATCCTTTAAGTTTAAACCTCGATCGAGTCTAAATAGTTTCCGCATAAAAATTTGGTTTACTCTTTTTAGAGTTGAATCAAAACATAATAAAAATGGAGCTATTTTCCACCAAAGCTAGTCGTTAGTTGATCTCATTCTATACTTAAATAAAGCAGAAGCGATGGCTACTTATAAAAATTTATATAAAAATTAAAAAATAAAAGTTTCTGCTTCTCTATCTATTTTCTATGTGGCTATAAAAAAATATGATAAAGATTTTTGACTATATAAAAATAATAATTTTTATAAAAATAATAAGGAAAAAAGGGATTCAAATTTAACACTTTTGGAAAAATATAATTTTTTGGCGGGAATGAGAGGATTAGACTTCCGAGGCCCTTCGCAATAAACAACTGTTACAACGCTGCCATTTTCTTAGTCTGATAATATTATTTGATATTGAGATCGAAATGGACATGCATAGAATGCAAGATTTGTCTTATAGTGGTATTTTCTTTATTTCAATCATGCATTTGAAGAGTGATGAATAAAAATTGTTACATATTTCAAAAGTCGTTATTTTTTCATGAATTAGTTTTATTAGTAATATATCTTACATAACATTATATAATAGCTTTAAAAAATAATGACTGGAGATAAATATACTAAAGAAAAAAAATATATTATGCATTCTTTTTAAATAACATTATTTAAAGTTTATAAAATAAAAAATTTACATGAACCTGTTTAAACTGGTTTTAACGGTTCAGTTAGCTTTTATAAATAGTATGGTTTGGGTTCATAAAAATATAGAATTATATAGGTTCAGTTATAGGGGTTCGGCTTGGTTTTATATCATTTTAAATTGTTAAGCATGGAGCTGTTATCTGAGATTTCGACAGGTCACCTGTTTTGAATATATTACTGCTAGGGCTGTATTGATCCACAAATTTTTCACCGATCCGATATTTATATTGATTCTACACCAGCTTTGAACCAAATGTAATTAAGAAATCAATAATTTTTATAAAAAAAATCGAATTATGCATTTAATTTAATTTTTTTATTCTACAATAATAAAAAAAGTTTACGGATATTGGGAGTATTAAATGAATTTTTCATTATTCCTCCTCATGAAATTAGAATTCCTCAGATAACGCATTTTTGCAAAATCATCTTTGCCTTTTGTAAAATATTTCCATAATTCAAATATCATATTTAAAAAATTCTTTTATTTAAAATACAAATAATAAAATTGGGTGTTCCTTTCTATTTTTATAAAAAACTTTTAAAATACTATAAATTATTTAAAAAATAAATAAAATTAAGTGGTGTTGTGTTTTTACATTGTTTAAAAAAAAAATTATTTAGAAAATATTATTAATGTAAAATAAATATACATAAAATAACAAAAAAAAGAAAAGTAAAAAGATCGGATCGGTTTTTACAGGCATCGACCCAAACGATATCTTCGGAAAACGCTAAATATCGGTGCCGATCTGGTATTTAATATCGGCACAGCCCTAATTATTACCAACAGTTTTTAAAAAATATATAATGCATAGACCCAATTGTATAGTGAAAACCCCCGGCCAGTCTATTTTTCTTATTTTTAAAAAATATTTTGGCGGGTAGGGAGATTAAATTATCTTAATTCAAATTCAAAAATTAATAATTTTTATTTAAAAATATCTCGGTTAAATGTCCCCTTATAATTCATAGTCAGTCAAAAATAAATGTTTTGTAGTGCTATAAAGTAACGTCGTTACCTCTAACAGGAACGCCATTTGTTACCTTCTACTAGAGGTAGCGAGTAACGGTAATGCAAAACGTTACTTTAAATTTTTTCTTAAAAAAACATATTTTATTGAATTATAAAATTATTTTTATTTATTTTTTAATTTTATAAATAATTTAAGCCGAGTTTTTAGTCAGATCATCCACCAAATTCCTTCATTTTTTTAAAATATTTTCGTTGCTAAATTTTCAGTCAATATTAATTTATTTTATAAAGAATATTATGTCAATTGTACATATTTCTTCAGACGATTATTTAACCTGCCCTGGTCCCAATATGAAACTTTTTTTCCACCCTAAAATTAAGGGTACAAAGTCTACACTTTGTAAAATTGTGTCCCAACTCAAATATTTCTTCAATTGTGGAATAAATATAGGCAGTCTCAAAACTGTGAAGCCATTTTTAAGGTAATAGGAAGATATCTGAACTCCTTTTATAAATCCGCTAAATTAATAATCTTATTAAGGAGAATAACCAATTTGACGAATCTTGTGTTAAATCCGAATTGCAGATATTTCCATATAATGACAAGTCGTTTATATATAATATTTTGTATGGTTTGGTTAGTGTTAATAAAAATATATGTATAAATGATTTCATATGTTATTGAACTGGTTGATACGGCTCTATTAATTTTAGAACATTTTGAATATCTCACTCTCACGATAACTATTATAATATTAAAACTTAAAAAAATTACTTTAAATAATTTCAAGTTTTATAAGCCACTTATTAATGCAATCCAGTAAGACATAGATAAAAAGTATAGTTGAAATATTGTTTACAATTTATATTTTGATTATATTTATTTTCAATAAATTCGAACACATCTATAAGAAGGAATAAAACTATCAGCAATAATTCACCTGCTACTTATAGATTCGTCCTGGATAAATTCTAGATCAACAAAGGTAGAACGCATGAACTTATTTCCAGTTTGAGAAAACATCTTGACAAAGAAAAAGCAGACTCAACACACATACATTTTCTGATAAAGAAAAAATTTTTTGACGAGGATTTGAATGAAGATCTTTTTGAAGATGATCTACTAGGCTTTTTACAAATTAATGATTATTCCTTAATTTTTAATAAATTTCCCCAATTAAACTTTTTATATAATAATTATGATATAAATTTCCTTAGTTGAACGTATGTTTAGCACGGCGAAAGATGTGCTGAGCACTCTCTTGCATATCTTATCAAAATTCTGAAAATTAATTGTTAAAAATAAATAAAAAATTATAAAAATATCTTATCTTATAATATATTATTATAATTTTGTTTAAGGTAACGGAGTAGCCGTAACGCGTTCCTTATTATTGACGTAATGATATTTTTTTTGAAGTAACGTTTACATAATGTTTTGTATTAGCTTTTTAACAAATATTTTGTTAAACTTGAAATTTAATTCAAAATTAACATGATGAATGCATACAGAATTTATTTAAAATTTTCAGCGCCTTCTGCAGATCGTCTCCTGCATTTAATTTTAGGGTTGTCTTCTATATGATTGGCTACAGCTAACTAAAAATAAAGGCGCTCCCAATCTTTCTCGTCATTCTACTACTTCATAAGGAGACTTTTGCTATTAATCGCCCGTTTAATATATCCTGTCGAACGAGTTATCAGTGATAAATAACTTTGAAGATTCGTCAAAGGGTTATCAAATGATACTAGTCTTTTTTATGGTATTGGCACATTATTTTTAAGTAAGTTGGAGGCCATTTTTAACCATAAACAGAAATGGCATTATCTTTATAAGAGGTGACCATAGCCTATTTGACTTTTAACTAGGGTTTCACCTTTATTCGATGTCACACACTATATTAAATATTAAGTTATAGTAAATAATAGAAATATCATATTGAACAATTATAAATATGGCTATTATTTAAGTTTACATTAGTTGAAGTTCAGTTACAAAGTTCATAATATTAAAAGAAGGATTAATTTTAATAAGCTTTAAGAAAGTGAAAAATTAACTACTAACCGCATCCAACGTCTAACAATTCTATGCATTGCTTATGCACCGCGTATCCACATTTTCTTTCTGTTGGATAAAAAATTTTAAATATATTTACCTGCAACTTTAATTTCCCCATAGAACTTAATTTTTTTCTATAGTTCAAAAAAAAACATAATTATATAATGTTGTCATTTATAAATTAATTCCGATGGATGGTGAGAAAGCATCAGTGAAAACTAAAATCGTAAATTACAGACCTATTATAAGTCCATACAATCCTAAAACTTGTGATGACCACATTTGGTCACTAACCATTGATTTTAAGTATTTTTGATGGGACTTTCAAATCAGAAAATAGGTGTAAACTTAATTTTAGATTACTTAGTATTTCACGGCCATTCAAAGTATTTCCCAGAGTTGTTAAACCCTATCTTTAAAAGTAGCGAGCTACCGCTATTTGTCAAAAAAAGTAGCGAGCTATTAGCTTCTATTTTTTAAAAGTAAAAAATTTGTTTTATTTTTTGCTTATAATGTAATTGTATAGTATATAATACATAAAAATCAACATTTATAAATATTTAAATATAGTTAATTTTGATTATAAAAAAATTTATGTAAAAAGACTATAATTTATGTAATAAAAATAATTATTTATGGTAATATTCATTTTTTATTTATTTTGTTTAATAATAAAATCATTTCTATACTATCATTCCCAAGTCTAGAGCGACGATCAGAAAATATAAGTTTCGCCTAACTAAATAATCTCTCAACACTAGCACTTGATAGCAAGGCTGCATTTAATTTTATATACATATTTTATTATAAGAAAATTTATATTTGAGTATTTTTAGATTTAAAAAAGGCGTCTAGAGGATTTTCTATTATATTAGAATCCTTTATTTCAAAAAAATTATCAGTGAAAGTCGTTTTTGTGATTGTAACTAAGGTATCTTTGTTTGGTATGAGACTATTCAGCTATACCATGAGCCTATCACGTTGATCTTAGCATCATCGGAATTGATATATGGCAGTTTAGTTTAAAATTGGGATAAATCATAAATTTTATTTGCAAATACATCGTATGTCCGGTATCCTATTATTCTTTTGAGGGCTAATCCTACAGATCTTCTTTTTAAAGTCTTAGTTTCCAAATAAGCTCTAAAAATATTAATAGATCAATTTATAAATATAAATAAGCTTTTACCTTCTGTTATGTGTCCAAATATCTGCCTTGGTACATATATAGGATATCTCTAACAACCCTGCTATAGAGCTTCTTTTATCATCTCAAAGTTATTTGCTATCTTAATCATTAGTATCTGGTGACACAAAATTGTTGTACCAGGGAATTGAGCTTAATTATCATGATAAATGAGGATTATCAACCAAGTACATTGACAATGACTTTATCAGTCAGTATCTGAGAAATATTAGCATGGGCAATATTATTAAATCAAATTAGATCATTAATTCTACCCATCTTAACCATACGGATTAGAGACATGACAGGGCACTAAAAGCAATATTATCACATCCCAAACCTTTATAAACAAATGTCTAAGATAAATTACTAAAACATACTACCCATACAACACCTCAAACTCAACTCTTTGGAATAGGTGCGACATACTACCAATCAATCGACTCATTCCTTTGAGGAGGTTAGAATTACTTAGTCATTGCTTAAAACATTGACAAGAAAATATGATATTTTCGTCCATGAAATGGACATCAGATTATGAGAGGCAGAGAACTCCCAAATACTATTGGCTGGCAAAATGTCTGAAGGAAATGGACTTGATCAATCTTTCGTTTACAGATTTTTTGGCACTCAGCAAAAACAAAAAAAATCTAAAGGAACACCCATAATACATGCTTAGACATGGGCTGAACTAGAGCAGGAATCGTTAGGAGGAATGAGACTACTCTCGTACTTGCTTTTCCTTTCTCCACATCTCCCGGAGTTGAATGACAATTTTTGCTTTCGGCACAGATTATTTTGGAAACTATCGATAGAATGAAGTATGATGAGGGTGATGGTAATTTTTCGCTTTTTTTTCCTTTTTGATAACCCTTTTCTTTTTCTTTCTACTGGACGAACGATATTGAAAACGTCAATGATAATCATGGAAGGTGAATAATAATAATGATAATTATCCCGTTCACTATAATAATAATAATGTTATAAAAATGATGAGTAACGCGAGCATCGCTTGAGGATTTATGGGGACATACGATATTGACTCCAATGAATGACAAAGAGGAATAAAGGAAAAAACAAACAAACGATAATAAGCTTATTAGGATAATGGTTTTCAGGGACCAACTTTAAAATTATAGGGAACTTAGATGCCTATGGAACAGGACACGCTATATATACATACCGTTACCTTCCAAGGATATATTTACTGGACATAAGACTTATTTTTTTTCTCTTAAATCTAACCAGGCGTCAGGAGGTACATTATTATTAATATTGTTATAGTTGTAATACATTGCCTTACAATTTTTTAACACTATCCTGCCGGTAACGGAACTACCTCTTTCTTACTCCTCTCTTCTTCACTATAGTGGTACCGTCCACTATAATAAAAAGGAAATACATCATGTATAGGATCTATATATTAGTGATTATATATGGTGCATGCTACAACTCCGGTGCAATTTCTGGCGTGGTAATGAATGAATGAATTTAGCTTGAATTGAATTGGTATTTTTGGATAAAGTCTTCCCTATATTAAATTATTACGATATTTTTCTATCTCTTTAAATCTGCTGGCATGAACATTCTTACAAAATAAAAATACTATTAGATTTAAAAATGATATACCTATTTTTCAAGTTATAGCTGCTAGATTTATTTTTTTACATTTCAATAAATTCGTAGCCACCTTTTGTTTTTACAATAATTTGAAAATATTTTTCAAATTTTGGAAATGGAAAATGTGTATTATTGTTATCAAGAACATTTTCTTCCAGAGTACCTTCCATTTCATTAATATCATCATTGTCTGACTCACTTACATCGATTTGGATATCCATTTGAGATGACATTTTAAATAATTTATACCAGATGATTTAGGTTTATAATACAAATTGAAAATATAAATTTCAAATAAATAATAAAATTTATAATTAATTATGATATTATATTAAAATTTTCATGTATAGTTATATTCATTATATTTTTAAAAAAGTATCTAAGTAGCGCGCTACTTAGATACTTTCAAAAAGAAGCGCGCTAAAAAATTAATAATTGGAGAAAAAGTAGAGCGCTATTAGCTATAGCTACCAAAAAAGATAGGGTGCTACAGTAGCGAGCTACACTTTGATTTTCATAGATTTATTAAAAATAAAATCTTAATTTAAAGTTTCATAATTTTTTTAAACGAACAAATAAATCGACCCTAAAATAATCTATAAAAAGTAACCTCTGCATTGATAACCCTGATATATAATTCCCTTCAAAAGTTTTTTGCAAAAACTGCATCGCGTCGGCTGCGGGAAAGACACGTAATCGAAGAGATGGTTGGTGCGATTTCGTGTGTGAGGCTTTATATTGTCCCTTTAAAATAATAGTTTAAAAATGTTCACTAAAAGGCAGCCTCATATTGAATCAAAAAAATTACCTATTAAATCCTTGAATTTTCGTCATTTTTCATCTTTTTAAAATAATTATTGCGACCTATTTATTATTTACTAACCGAGTTTAAAACGTGTTTCGGTTCTAAATATTCAAAAAAAAATAGTTCTGGTTTAGGTTTCTAAAATCTTAAAGAGTAAATTTTAGTTCCGGTTCTTAAATTAGACGAGGTTTTAACTCCAAACCCTGTCAAAGCAATTTTAAAAAAAACTACAAATTTAGTATATATATAAGTTACCTTTACTTTTATTAGAACCAGTTCATGGATATTTTTAATAAGTACTGGTTCGTATAGATTTGAAAAGAGAATTCCAGGTTCCAGTTAGAAAATTAGTCATAGTTCCTAACTATTAAATTTCATAAGTTTATATACTACCAATGGAATATATCAGTCTATAATAAATATATATAAGGGAGATGTGGCATAAATGGCCATGTTTGAAGACTGGTCACCACCCTTTAACTTTTTACCTATTATTTCTCTCAAAATTCTTTAAAATGTGTATATTTATGATATGTACCTTACCTAAGTTCACTTATTGATTAGAAAATCTAATAAATATATATCTTAAATAAACTGCATTGTGAAAAAGCAATTAATCATCATCAATCAAAATTTGATTATATAATCTTTTTTTGCTTAATATTATTGGAAAAAAAAATAATTACTAGCTTATTAAAACTCAAATTTTAATTTTCAATTTTAAAATTTAACAAATATATATCCTTAAGAGAGCGTTAAATGCATAAATATGAATATATCATCTTAAGATACCAGAATGATTATTGGATAGCGCTTTTTTTATAATTGGGTGTAAATACATGTGAATAACTTAAAAATTTTAAAAAATGATGGCTTTCTTTGACATTTAAATAGTAGGTTTTGAATCGAAAAATAATAGAAAACTTGAAAATATTTAAAAAATATCGTGATTTGACTGATTTGAAACCGAAATACTGCATTGCTGGCGTTATCCATGGAAAATTCTTTATTTATGGTTTATGCGTGCATTATCATGTTAAGTATTATTCTAAAAAATATTTAGAAAATATTATGATTTGACCAAATGCCGAACACAAAACCGACCACTTTTTAAATATTCGATAGACCGAATTTCGTAGTATTATTAATAGAAAGATGTTTATTTTAGTTTAATTTATCTATAAATATAAGTAAAACATTATCCCAAAAAATGTTTTTCGTGATTTGACCTAGCCGATTTTAAACCGAAATAGTGCATTGTTGGCGCTATCCATGTAAAATTCTTTATTTTTGGTTTATACGTGTACATTTAAGTATTAAGCATTATCCTAAAAAATATTTTGAAAATATTCTGATTTGACCGAATACCGAGCACAAAATTTAATAAACTTCTCTTATCTCTTTATATATATATATCCTATTATATTAATTGTAATTATTTTTATTTTAAATTCCAGATTTATATCCGAATCTCAATAAATTTTTAGTTTGTGTGGCTATATTATTTATATATATAGCCATACATACGAATGTCACTAATTAGACTATCAACAAAGTTATTATAACTTAATTATAATTAAAAATACAAGATTTGAATTTGACTTCTTATCGGTGGTCTTCCTTTATATCCTCTAGTGTTGTTAAACGGCTCGTTTCGAGCCGATTTTTAAACTGCATAAGCTTCTAGATTTCGCTAATAGATGTCCAAACCTTTGTTTCTTCTGCAATTATAGATAAATTAAACAAGAATAAACATTTTTCAATTAATATTACTACCAAATTCGGTCGATAATAAGTGGTCGGTTTTGTGCTCGGCATTCGGCCAAATCATAATATTTTCTAAATATATTTTAGGATAATGCTTAACACCTAAATGTACACGTATAAACCAAAATTAAAGAATTTTCCATGGATATCGCCAGCAATGCAGTATTTCGGTTTCAAATCGGTTATCGGTCAAATCACGATATTTTTAAAATATTTTTTGGGATAATGTTTTACACGTAATTATAGATATATAAAACAAAAATTTTTCAATTTATATTACTAGCAAATTCAGTCGATCGAATATTTAATAAGTGGTCGATTTGTGTTCGGCATTCGGTCAAATCATAATATTTTCAAAATATATTTTAGGATAATGCTTAACACCTAAATGTACACGTATAAACCAAAATTAAAGAATTTTCCATGGATATCGCCAGCAATGCAGTATTTCGGTTTCAAATCGGTTATCGGTCAAATCACGATATTTTTAAAATATCTTTGGGATAATGTTTTACATGTATTTATAGATATATATAAAACAAAAATGAACCTTTTTCAATTAATATTACTAGCAAATTTGGTCAATCGTATTTAGTAAGTGGTCGGTTTTGAACCTGGCATTCGGTTAAATCATAATATTTTCAAAAAATTTTTTAGGATAATGCTTAGCACCTAAATATACATGAATAAACCTAAAATTAAAAGATTTTGATTAATAACGCCATCAATATGTGCCATACAATGTATTTACACCCAAATATAAAAAAAAGCGCTATCCAATAATCATTCTGATATCCTAAGATGATATATTCATATTTATGCATTTAACGGATTGTAATGACATAAATTGTTGTGTATCATAATTAAGTTTATTGAGCTTCGAAAAATTTTAAATTGATGAATGATTAAATTATTAAAATTTATAGAATCATTAAATAGATAGTGGTTAATTTTATATTGAAATAAGAATGTTTAACAAAAGGAAAATTAAGATATTCATTTATAAATATTATCACTAAAAGGATGATGATAAATTTAAATGTTGCTAATTAAATTAGTGCACAATTAAATTTTATATACCTAAAAAATGAATAAATATTAACATAGGGTTTTAAAAGTATTTCTTATTGTAATATTTCATATTTATAATAAAATTCTTCAATAATATGTTGTATAATTAAGTTTATTAAAATCATAAATTTATAAATTGATGAATTAATATTTCATATTTATAATAAAATTCTTCAATAATATGTTGTATAATTAAGTTTATTAAAATCATAAATTTATAAATTGATGAATGATTAGATTATTCAAATAATCATTTTAACATGTAGATAGTTAGATAATAATCTGTAAAAACAATAAATAGATAATGGTTAATTTTATATTGAAATAAAAAGGTTTAAAAAAAAGATTATTAAGATATTATCATTATAGATGTAAATACGAATTAAATTAGTAAATTTTTATACATCTAAAAAACGAAGAAATATTAAAATAGGAAAAGTATTTCATATTGTAATATTTAAAATAAAATTTCTAAATAATTTATTATGGCCAGTTAACACATAGTATATGACCAGTCAATACATACCATGTTTTGACTGGCCAGAAAAACACTCTCACATCACCTCATAAACTATTATAGAAAGAGCTTAGATTTAAATTTTTTAAAAAATTAGATTTGGGCTACACATTGATATAAAATATGCTTGGTAAAACACATATATTAATGTCTTTTTTTGAAAAAGCAAAAACATGGGCATTCAATGACACATTTCCCCTATTTTGTTTTTAATCATATATTCTTTTTATACTGAGCTAATAAAAGAACTTGCAACCATTTTAACCAGGCATCGTAAGTTTTAGCGTAGATATTGTAAACATTTTGATGGTCAAAAGATTCTAGCACCCATTGATAACCCCACTAAAATATGGACAAAAATAATGTTGTTAACTAAAAATATATACTGTCTAGGGGTGACATGATTAAATAAAATTAATTAAAATCGATGATTTTTTGGAATAAAAATGATTATTTAAATCCATTTTCTTTTTGTGTATATTTTAATAATTATTCGTTTTTTCCAAATAAAAACATTTCATTACACCTCGTTTTACTATATTTTGTATGTAAGTTTTAATTAATTGATAAATTTTATTATAATAAATGATTTTATGTTGAGCTAATCCTAAAATCATTCTTTAGCATAATAATTCGTATAAAATTATATAAATATTATTAAAATTAAAGGAGATATTCAATAAAAGTATTTCTGTTCTGTTTAATAAATATGTATTCTATATTTTGTCGATTAAATCAGATGTAGTTTAAAAATATCAGTTGTTAAAATCTAGATATAAAAAATGTGGTATCTGTTTAGATATATTTTGATATAATTTTATTTTACATTAGAAATAATAATGTTTGAATTAAATCATTTAATAATATGACCTACCTTATTTCATTATAAAAACAAACAAGACAAATTTTATTTTACGGGATGAGGACAACAGGGTAAATTTTATATTATAATTTTTAGATCAATATTTCTAGACTATCTCTGTAATGAAATAAGATAATATATATAAGATTTTTTGGGTACCCCAAAAATATTCTATAGTACACATTAAGGGAATTAAAATCTTTTCTTTATTATGGCTTAAAACATAATCATATATTTTTTTAAATGTAATAGGATTGTTAAATGTTAAAAAATTTATCTCATCACCTAAAATTTTTCCATTAATAATGTCTATGTCAATATTACATTTAATTATATCTAATTCTTTGATCGAATCCTGACCACATAAGGGTGGTCCATCCCCATCTAATACGTAATTATTTAAATATTTAACCACCTTACAATTAATCACCAACGATTGTGATGGGTGCTCCTTCATAAGAAAATAGTTTTCTGGAACAACTAATTACAATGCTTTCATTATTTCCGAGCCTTTCAAATTCTTTAATTGGCAAGGATGTCACTGGAGATCCAGTATATATATAATAAAATAAAATTTAAGATTATTTAATTGTATATCTATCATAAAATCATTAATATAATTAATCTTTTGAGTGGCCTTATGGTGATTTTCCAATAGATTTGGCAATGCTCTACAAGATATTGTGTTATATCTTGTTTATTGTTGTTGTTGCGATTATTTGACCCTTTATATTCCTATTATTTGTCTTTTCATCCTGTGTCCCTATCTCCGTTGTCTCTTCTTCAAACTTCTTTATCTGTCCAAATTTTATTGTTATTTTCTGAAACTTCCATCGATTGAAATTTACCCACTATATCGTCAATAGTATTCTCCTCTATAAGCCTTACCTTTAATTTCCCATTTCAACAATTAATAATGAGATTTTCAATTATCCATAATAGGAGAGATAGAAATATGCGAAACAACTACTTTTGCGGGATTGTTAATGAGAAAGAGAAATATGTGAACCAGTACTTTTAGGGGAGTGTCACGACTGGATATAAAAATGTCAATGTACTTATCATCGAGATAGATATCGAGTATTTCTGGGATTTGTGGCGCATCATGTCACATTTTCATATGCAGTTTGGTGCTTATTTCTTTTTCGTTTCTCAGCACCTGAATCAAATTTGCTTGCTCTTCCCATATTGAAAGTGATTGGATAAAGATCGACGATTAAATGCGACGAATTATTTTGCATTACCAAGAAAAAGAGCAGAAGAGGTTGTTTTTTGTGCTAATGGATATAAATTATCCACTTGTGAAAAAAAGAAATTATAGGAATGGAGACAAATCGTTAACGTTGGGTCCAGACAACAATATTCGTTCAAACTCAATGAAGACTACGGATGCAAATCAATAACGTTGGGTCAAGATGACTAATACTCGATCATCAACGATGCAGCTAATGTCTACTTCAGCGAAACTATGGAATTTTGAAAAGGAAACCACCATACTAGATATCGGAAGGAAGATATACTAATATGTCGGCTCAATTCTATATTATTCGGATAAAGAATCGAATGGGGTAAGTTAAAGAAAAATATATATTCTCAAAAGTTTGAATCATATTTAATGGCTAATTGGTAATAAAATAGTTTAAAATTAATGATAATTAATAAGAAATTCAAAATTTATAAAACCGAATATATGACAATGAATTGCTAGAAGTATATATATATTCTAAAGTCGAAACATTATGGGTGTCGAGTGAGCTCATTTATGGAGGGCATGCCATATTTATCATTATTATTTAAAATTATTTTGTTTAAAATTTATCATATTAATAAATAGTGGCGTGATTTTATATATAACGTGTAGAACTCGTGATTTCTTTAAAGTATAAAAGGGACGAGATTTTCTAATTATAAGGGCTTTTAACTTCTTTTTTTTTAAAATATTTATTTTAATTGACGAATAAAATGAGTTGAATTACTAATTTTAGTTTTAGGGTTGTGTTGGTAAACTGTGTGAGTTATTAAATAGCGTTGTACTGGTTGAGTTTTTTATAGTACATAATTTTCACAGTGTTGAACTAATCTCACCCAATATTCTTCTTAGCTTAGGTTTGTATTCCGATCAGATATAAGTTTTGCCACTCGTCAAATTTTGAATATTTTTTTAAAAATGAGTGTCGGGATTTTAAATTTTAATCGCGCCAATATAAAGTTATTTTTCATTAAATATAACAACCACTCTGTTGTAGTGCCCCAATGGAAATAGTTGTGTGGCTAAACATCTACAGATAAACGGGGGTGCCTCAATGATAAAAATTTTGAGAATGTCTTATTAAAATATAACAATTATTTATAATAATTTAATTCTATATTTTGTATATGTATTATTAAAATGTAACAATCATTTTAATTATATATTTGTATACAGGTGTGATTTTAGCTCACTTCAAAATTTAAATTTTAAAAAAATAAACCTAAATTAAGCATTATGCACACCTTACATAAGTCTAATAAAAATTGTAACGGTATCTAGATACATCTGTAAAAATGTATGTGTATATAGATTCGGGTTTAGACTATATATATCTATCAAAACTGGGATTCGAAATATAGCATTATGATAAAATACTTCTTAGTCAATTCACTATTAGTAATTTAATTTCACATTTCATGAATTTAACAAGAAAACAGATATAATGTAATAAAACGAATGCATATCCCATTAATAATTTTTCCTCAAAAACAATGTAAATTTATCACAAAATTTGAATTAAATGAAAAAATTGTTAACTAATTTAATATATCGATTTTTTATATTTTTATAAAAAAAAATCATATTAATTATTTAGACATCAGGGCCATAAACTTATATGATTATAAAAATCGAGCTAGACTATATTTGAAATTGGGAAAATAGACTAAGCAAAAATTCTACCCAATTTGGTCTCTCAGTTTAATAGTCAAATGCCATTATTTTGCAGTTGAAAATATATAATTTTATGAATAATTACGATGGAGAAAAAATGGATAAATTTAAATTATGATAGATTGGGCTATTATAAAAAATTTAAATGGAACGTGTTAAAAAATATTAACACATTGTATACGCTTTGATTATAATACAAATCGTCACCTTGGATTCCTTTTTGTATTTCTGTTTCCACCAGGCTGTAGTGGTTATATCTATATTTAAAGGGCAGCCATTATTTTTATTTCTCAGGGAGGAAAGGAAATCTTTGGCCATGGGTTCCGGAATTTGCGGCAAATTCACGCGAAACTCGCTCAGTGATAGTGAGTCCTTGAAATTGTAAGTGTCCGACTATATACATTTGAAATAATAGATATTAGTGTTGTTAAACGGCTCCATTTCGCCAAAATAATATAAAGCCTCGAGATTTCGCTAATAGAACAAACCTTTTTGCCATCTATGAGCAAAATCTCCAGTCTTGCGTATTGGCAAAAATATTGGGCTATACGTTTTGAAAATAGAGCCGTTAACATCACTTATAAGTGGCATGAATTTTAAATGAAAAACAGTTGGTATTAAGTTAAAAGTATATAATAGCTCTGGTAGGATACTTATCAATTAAATAGTTTTAAATTTATTATATATGGATGTAATTTATTTTTTAAGTTCATATAAAGAAACGTACATTTATTAAATCTGCAATTTACTTTAGGTGTATACCAAACGATAGAAATTTAAATCAGCTGTTCTAAATTATGATATGAAAATAGAGTTTTGCATTTTAAACCGGCATCAACAAGTGAGCCAGAACGACCTCTTATAATGACAAATAATATGTTTTGATGTTACCTAAGAGATAAAGCTTTTACAATGATTAAGGCCCTTGTTATTCCCTACTAGGATATTTATTCTGTATAAAAATATCTCTCATGACTATGAATTAATCAAGTAGTCATGTTTGAAATAGGGTTAAGCTCGTGGTTAGTTCAGGACCTCCTTTCAAGAAGAGACTTCCTCAGGCTTGAGAACATTTTAGTGGCTAAATTTAGCGATAAGATTTTTTTACGATAAACTAGTGCAATTTTTTTTATTCTGCTTATAAATTTTTTAACACTATGTTTCAATATACCCATCTATTTTAGAATCAAATAAATAATCTAAAAAAAATAAAATAGCTTAATAGAGTTCGGATAATATTAAGATATAGCAATTATTCTTAAATTTTATGAATTTTGGCAAGTTTCATCAAAATAGCACGTATTAACATATGTTCTAAACTCACAATATTTAACAAAATTTAATTTTTTTTTAAACATATGAATAAATAAGTAAAGCTGGAATAGATAATTATGAAGTAAATGACAAATCATAAAATACTTTGGTTGATTAAGTATGAAGGAGGGTCTGGATATAGGAAAACATTTGAAGGAATTTCACATAGAATAGACAATTTTAAAACCTGTTGCTGCCCTCCCACACATGAAATATTTTGAGAAATAACTCGATATTTTCTTAAAGATTTTGTTTAGGTATTTTAATGAACACATGTATGAACTAATTTTGGAAACAACTAATATTGGGTTGAAAGAAAAGTGAAAAGTATCAATGTAGCCTGGGCGAAGTTATATTTAGGGCTTCCTTGTTATATCGTCAAGGGCTTTTTTAGTGAAATGTGTATTCAACATGGAGGATGAGAATAGCGCTGATTGCCCATAAAATTTTACTCGAATAGACCTGACAAGATACTCACTAAATGTTTAAGAGCCTAAGAATTTCCAGCCTGGTCAAAAAGATATAAATAGTAAAATGCGAACAATTATTGATAATTCTTTTCTAGTCATTAAATTTATTATTTTGCCGTAACAACGCTAATCCATCATTTGTGAGAGTTGATCATAGAAATGAGGCAATTCGTTAGAAACAAGTGCCCCAAGATAAATTTTTTGTATGCCAGCTAAGGAGAGTATACCAGTGGGAAGGTGGGTTTTTTTGTCCCGGTATTGAAATAACTTGTTTTTTTAAAGTAGGTTTTAGGAAACGGGCTCTCTTTAACTCTCAAAATAGAATAGGTATTAAATTATTAATTTCATAAAGCTTTTCATTTTTATTTACATTCATTATGGATAGGGTAAAGGCTTAAGAAAGAAAGGAAGAAGATCACATGTTCACGTTTTTTTTCTATGTAATAATTATAACTACTAATTTATATGCTCTAAAGGATTAAATCATTTATTAATATGTAAACGTATGAAAGGAGGAAAGAATTCGCATCTTTATATCCGCTTTCAAAGAAATAGAGGCTTATATAACAATATGGTAAGAGTTGAAGCTAGATCGGGTGATAGCACACTATTCTATCTGCATTCGCATAAATGAAATGAGTTTTCTCCATTATTTCAATTTTAGCAGCAGCACAGATAAAATTTAAGCGGGATAGGTATAGTGTAAAAGAAATCATGCTATATCATGATTATAAGACTGTGATTGAGGAAATATTAACTTTCGATAGATCTATTATCTCCCCGAAATCACCTAGCTATGGTGATATATCCTTGTGAAGGGAAGTTTGTGTGCAGACATCTCTTCAACCCCCAACAGATTAAATGTGGTGGTACCTTCCAATATAGATAAAAGATCAAACATCTGGTGTATAATAAATGTGTAGTATAAATATACAGATTATAACCATATCGTTAAATTGTTTTATTCATTTTATAAATAATGACAAAATTTGTATAGTGAGATTTTTTTTTAAATTAATTTTTATCCGTACCCTAACATTTATCTCGATTTTTTTTGAAGTCGTAGATTCTTTATGTGGGTGAGGGTATATAAAGTAGATTCAACGAACGATTCTTTGGCGCTATACCATCTAATGGTAAGAATACCTTCTTTAGTTGCCAAAACAATAATTCAAGAATTATCACATTTCTGACTGACCTGTGAAACCTAAAATCTATTCTTCAATGTCATATTGGTAATAAAAATATAGAAAATCAAAAAATATTTACATACAATAAATAAGACCCATCATTAATGGGTTAAGTGATAATTAATAATAATTATTTTAAATACAAATTAAATTGTTTCTTTTTTAACTATATATAAATTGGACACTAGGGAGAGAATGAATAGAAAATACTTGATAATATAGAAAAAAAGAGGTAATATTTTTTTGATAAAGAAAATACTTTCAAAAGAAAAAAAGCATAAAAATTATATATTGATATTAAATTAATAAAAAAATGGTGATACTTTATGATTTATAATTTTTAAGTTGTTATAATAGGATGAATGTTAAGGTTAGAGGAGAATGAGGAGACACAGGTGAAATCACCGATGAGCTTACAAAACCACAGGGTATTAGTAGGACATCTGGTCTCTTGCCATCAGACAGGAATAGATATACGGATTTAATGTGATGGGATATTTAACCATAACAAATTTATTGTTCTGTGGAGACTCATCAGACCTTTAGAATACAGGTAAGCTAGGCTATATCTACCTTTAGGGTTGGATTTTTCCCACACTCTTTATTTCCATATATGAGGTAGCTATATGTCAGCCTAATCTATAAAATATTGCCACCCTTAACCATCATCTGACAGCAAAATAATAAGATTGGCAATTGAAACTAGAGATCTACAAATTCTAATTTCTTAAAAATGATTTCGAGTTCGGGCTGAGTCGGGCCTAATATTATTTATTATTTAAAAAAATTCGGGTCGTGCTTAAATTTTTAAATTAAATATCATTCATTTTTGTGGAATAAATTGATACATTTAAAAATTCTTGCAAGAAACAAGGCGTCGATATTTTTTATTTGTAGAATATTTTTTTACAATTAAAAAAATATCAAATTTCTGTATTTAAATAAATTAGGGCCATGCCAATAGATAATTTTTGATTTGGGCCGGACTTTTTGGGACAACTAAAAAATTAAATTAAGGATCGGGTCAAACAAATCTTTATAAAGAAAATTTCCCTCCGGGCTGGCTTGTAAGCCCGATGCTGATCCTTACTTGAAGCCGTTTCTAGCCAACTAAGACCAGAGTTTTATCAAAAATATATGCAAATGAAAGTGTTTTCAATGGAAGGATTGTCCACCAACCTCATAAAGAATAATTCGTGTATTTAAATAAACTAATGATGATTTTTTTAAACTAAAAATGAAAATTATAATATTTTTACAAATATTAGCTCTGTTAAAAAACTGATATTGAAATTTATTTACTTTGGTTGATTTGCACAAAAGGATGATGGTATCGAACAAAAAGATAAACCTAGATATAAAATATATTAGTATTAATTGTGAATAATTTAGAGAAAAATCCCCTTAAAAAGAAGTAATCAGTTTTATTTTTGGCTATCCGGACGTCCGAAATAAAATTTCAGTCAAGATATATTAGTATTGGGGAATATTGTAATAAAATTAAATGTTAATGATAGTGTAATATAGAATAAAATATGAAAAATCTTTAAAAAATGTGTAGTTTTAGGAATACAATAAATGGGAAATATTTCGGGTCCGCGTCCGTGCGATTTTTAAAACTTAAGCCCTTGGACCCGACTTCGGATAGGTCATTCCTGTCTATATAAAACTCTAACGACCTAAAAACTGATCTAAAACAAAATATTAACGAAAAAGTAATGATTATTTCCACTTGATAAATGTTAATCAAATAGCCTTTTCAATTTTAACCGTTTTGATTTAAAGTGTTCGTCAAATTAATAAAATATACAGCTTAATTTTGTATGAATATCAAGAACAGGCGAATGGCCTGCATTTTAAAACCTATTTTTAAGTCTGGAATTCAATCTACTTTTCACCTTGAGTTCGCCATCTTTCAATAATCTCCCATATACACTCAGTTTTGAATCCTCAGGCTTTAGTAAATCAAAATGATTTAAGATAATATAGTTAAATTAAGAATTTTTGTATTATTTTGTTTTGTTAAATATCCGATTAAAGAAATAAAAAGAGAGAGCATATGCATGTAACAATTTTATTAAGTGGTTCATATATACATTCAAATTACAGTTGTTAGGACATCTATGAATAGCACCTCGTTCCTTAAAATAACCTTTTTCAACAGTTTAATAATCTATAATTTTATTGACTGGGTAGGACTTATAAATTTTTACCCTTGAAAAAAAAAATTTAAATTGGATGAATCGGGCAAATTTTTTATCTGATTGGGCCAGAGACCTAAAAAATAAATCGATGCAGGCTGGGTTGGACAGTAACGCAAATACTTGTATTTAATATATTAAATACAAATATTTTTTTGCATTTGTATTTATTTGAATCAAAAAATATTTAATATTTAGCCTATTTGGGTACACCTGGAAGAAGAAAATGTGAGTCAATTTATCTCTCGGTTGAAAATATCGCTGGCTTTAAGTACTCCTTTATTTATGTATTATATTTCTCATATTTCAGTGGGCTTTCACTTTCCTAATATTAATTGAGAATTTATTAGTTTTTAATATTATAAAAAGATCGTAAATATTTTAGTCACCATAATAAATAGAAGCAAAATTTATTAAACAAAAAATTAAAGACGCCATTTAGCGGATAAAATAATATTTCTTTACTTTTATAAATAAAAAAAGTTAGTAAATTTTATTTTATAAAAGTATTATTTAATTTTATAAAAGTAATGAAGCTAAAATATCTAATAGATAATTTTTTATACCTGTCCAAACATTTATTTTATTTATAAAAACTAAATAATTTCAATTTATATTAGGAAAGTGAAAGTCCACTGGAATATAATTGGAAATATAATACATAAATAAAGGAGTACTTATAGCCGAGCGATATTTAAATAATAAATGATTCATTATGTGGTTAGCCGATCGATATTTCCCAACCGAGCGATAAATACACCCACCTATTTAGTATTTGTACTTTGAATAATCTAAAAATAAAAAGTATTTTGTATTTATTACGATTTCAAACGAATATAAAAACTCTTTATTTTTTTAAATAAATTAAATTTTAAATGTAAATCCATAATTTATTTTCTCTTGTGATGTAAGTTGGCGAAAAAATTAACATCTTATGCGTTTGTCCCATTTTATTTTCAAAATGAATTATTAAATATTTATAATTTAATGGTACTTTATAGGCAACTTTTAAAGGCCGAAAACACACCTTTAAAAATTCAAATCTGACATGATGGAGAGGTATCGTTATAATATTGCAAAGTGTTATTTTTGCGATGTAAAAGATGAATTAAGCATCAACTTCTATTTTAAATGAAAATGATTTGAAAAAATTCAGATGATTGTTAATAAAGGAAAGATATTTTAGTGTCAATAATATCAATATGTGGCAAATTTGTTGCAACCTCGGTTTTAAATTATAAAGAATTATCGGTAGCCAATTGTAATATTGGAAAAATTATGGGTATTTTAGCAGAATTTTGAAAGAAGGTTTCTGCATATAAAGGGTCTGGCATATGGGAGAGCTCGATCCACATCAAACCTCTCATATGACGGAAAGGGTTGTGTGCAAATCAACCCCTTTGGAAAGTGACAGTAAGATGACTTCCGATACCATCCTCAAATGCCTCCGCAAAAAGGGTCAGCATTTGGGATGGTTCATTCCAAAGCTAGAAATCAAATAAGAGTGAGAGAGTCCAAAAATTGATATATATAAAATATTCTACATTTAAAGGATCGCATGAATATGACATCACATTTGGAATATCAGCGAAAGAATTGGGATTTCAATTATACATATCAATGGCCAATGACGCTATTTCAATTGTATCCTATGAATTTTAAATATATATTTAAAATACATACTTCTTGTTGTTAATTATAAAAAATTATCTAATTTAAAAAAATGAAATATGTTTAGTGTATTTTTGTCTTTATTTTTCAATTCTTCTTATTTTACCTAATTCCTAAAAATTAAATAAAAATGTTCAATAAAAAAAATTAAAAGCTTTATGGTGAATTTTGTGGTTATTTTTAATTTTCCACAATTTTCCGGCAAATATATAAAAAATTATTCGCCAAGATTTGTATTTTTTTTCAAAAATTTTTATAAGGTATTTAAAGTGTTCTAAATAATATGATAGAAATTTTTAAAATAAAAATTTTAATAAAAAATATAATTTCTTAAAACATATTTGTATTTATATTTCAATATATTTTTTTCAAAATTTGCCCTACCCTGCATAAAAGGCTCTAATATTTATAAACCAAATAAATTTGTAGAGGTAAAAAAAAGAGAAATATTTTCTTCAAATCATGATAATGATGAGACAGAGAATCGAGCATATAATAAAAACAAGATAAAATCTTTTTCTTTTTGATCGATGGAATAATTTCGTTTGATAATATTTTTAAAAGAAAACAACCTATTTCTTTTCAAAGATAAAAAAAGAAGTCCTTTCTTGAATAATTTATAAAAAAAAAGACGAAAAATTTATCACTGTATAAATGGAAAAACATTAAATGTAATGGGATAATCTAAAATCATTTTAATATAAAATTTTTGGGACCAGGAATTCTAAACGGCAAAAGGAAAATCTTAGTTTTACATGTTATTTGTAGGAAATGCATAGGTCTACCCTAGTCCGCCTACTGTAAAATTGCATTCACAGTTATAAATTGCTAAGCATTCGTGGATCTCTTTTTGCGGAAATCCAGAATTATTCTTTAACTATGTATTGCATGAACATGCGATCCCATATATTTATTTGTTAAATACTTTAAAATCAATATTTTTGCCTGCAAACGGCCAGGTGGCAATTTTTTTTAAATTTTAGGGCCGGCCCGTAGTCTGAATTTTTAAAAAAAGCTTGTAGGGAAGAAATGTCAAACTCAAAATATTTATTTCATTATCTATTTTCATTTTATACATTAAACTTAAATATTTATTAATAATTTTGATAATTTATATTCTATTTATCACCAAATATTATAAGAAAAAAAATATTTCAAACATCCTGTTTTTTTAAGAAAAATTCATTTTATAATTGTGACATTCAATCAGGCAAAAAATATGAAAGAGATATAACAAATATTTTCTCAGGCAACGGGTCGGACCTGTTTCTTATTGATGATATAACCGCGGGTGAGTGGGCTTAACGAGTGGGGGCTGATGGACATCTTTTCAGAATTCTACTCGTTATAATTATTTAAGAACAAAAAATAGAATTATTATTTTTCAAATTCTCTACCTTATATTTTTGAAGATTGATTCTTGAAGAATATAGCATTAATTCTTTTTTATGCTATTTTCGAAAAAAATAATGATTTCAAAACATGAATAAATATGCAAACTTGATATCTACGAAGCTCGATCCGCCCAAAAACCTGACAAGGAACATTTTTAAAAAAAATATTATAAAGGGCTGGGTCGGGAAAAATTGGACAGATTTAGGCAACTTGTATGAAAATTCTTAACTGGACGGTCCGAGCTCTGTAGACCTTTAATTTAAACGACATACAATCTAATTAATGAACACTTTTAGTATAACTAGAAAACAAAAGGAGATTAAATGCGTGTTTGCGATTTATCATATTAAAAAATGATTTTTTAGGAAATGAATTCCAAAAAAAAATAAACGGAGAAAATAGGATCATATTACCATGGTGAGGCGGCTGATATTCCTTTGTATATCGTTAGTCATTTCCATGTCCTCCGCATCTCGCTTCACTTCGTTCACGTAATCGGTCAAGTCCTTAAAAGGATTTTTTTAAAGGGGAGGGGGCAGGAATAAAATTAATTGAAACCATATTTTTTAATAAAGAACAAAATCGGATTCCAAAAAAATTATAGGCGGGATAACGATCTTGATCACCGTTTTTATGTGCATATGGCGAAAAATAAAAACCGCAAGTGAATGAAAAATAAAAATCTAAATTTCGAATAAAAATAAAATAAATAAATATATTACTTAAATAAATATATTTAAAAAAAGGGAATATAATTGATCACAATTGTAACATTTTCAGAGGTTTTATTGTAAATGATGAACGATTTGTGTTATACAAAAATAATCGGAAAGTAACTATCGATAAAATAGCTAACCAGCATAGAATCCAGAGCTTTTAACAAGGCCACCTTTTCGTCTGTATTATCGGGGGTGTGTTTGAGCAATTCCTAAAAAATTTGAGGATATTAAATTTCGAAAATTTAAATTCTGATTTATATTCATAATTATCCTTATCTCAATTATGATGTGATTGTGTAAATAATTGGATGCTATAATTATTGTCTGTAGTATATTTTTTTATACATTTGTTTAAAATAGTTTTTTTATATAAATTTGAATAATTATTTGGAGTTAATTGTATAATAAAGTTTTAATTTAAATTTGGATAATGAAAATCAGACGATATTTATTATGCAATTATAAATATTGTATATATAGACATTTTTATTTATATAATTATCATTTTTAGTTTAAAATTTTTAGGGATAAAATAAAATAACTTTTTATAAAATATTCATTATTCATTCTTTTTGGTTTTATTTTAATAATAAATATTAAATTTAGCAAAATTTGTGTAATTCCCACAGCCTCCTATACAACTGAAAAGTGGTGTCGGGGTGAAGAAAATAAAAATTATACCAGGGACCTAAATATTTCGCCAAGGTTATTAAGGTAAAAAACAATAATTATATATGATATATATATATTAGTATTAAGTCTAGTAATTTTCTTATATTCGATTAATTTTGTTAAATTGATGTTTATTAGGTGGCTAGTTAATTCTCTGTAAATGTATATAAATCATTTAATTTGTTTGACATTTTAGTTAATAATATTATTTTGATTTAAATAGTGATCATTTTCCTAAGTTTCGCTTTATGAGTAAGTATAAGAAGAAATGCGACCTGTATAAAAATTGATGGAAAAATTGTGGAGGAGGTTAAAAAATTGATATAGAAAAAGATACTGTAAGGCAGGAAACAAAAGGGAGACAATTTAGATAATTTGCTTGATAATAATAATTTGTTTGAATTTTGTTAATTATAAATCAAGTAATAATAATAAAAGTACAGATAAGGCAAGAGATACAAATTTGAAAGTAGGAATTTAGAAATATATAGAACAAATTGCGAATTGTAAAGATAGGCGAAATATTGTATTAGAATTTTTTTTAAAGAAAAATGGATGCCCGAGAATTAAGATAAAGATAGAGGAAGCAGAAATATGTTTTTATTAGATACAGTAGCTGAAATTAGCCTGATGAGTGTAAAAGATTTTTTTAGATTTTGGCTAGAAAAGGAATTTGTTGTTAAAAAAAATAAGAGCCAAACAATTAGATGGTAGCATAGTTAAAATTTTAGGTTAATAAAGTTACCTGGAATTAATAATGGTATAACTTTATGGATAATCACATTGAAAATTGTGCCAATTTTAGGTTGGTGTTAAATAGCTCCTGAATACAATTGGTGAAATTATTTTGAAACTGTATCTGAAATTAACGAGGTAAATAGAAATAGTTATATTGATAAGATTAAGTTACCCAGTATAGAAGTTAAACAAGATTTAGTTCTCGTCACACCCGAATTTTTGATTAGATATAGAGACAAGATAGAAAAGAATAATGTATCAAGAGATATAAATTTAATAGAGGTAACTCCAGTTTAAACAAACAGATAGTTAATAGAACTGAAAGAGATTGTTGAAAGTAAATTCTGCCATGAAATAAATAATATTTTAAATCAGTACAAGGAGGTTTTTAAAGAGGAATTAAGTACTCTAAAAAATGTTGAAGTAGCTATAAAATTATTGAAAAATTACCAGGCTAAATTTTGTGGATTAAGAAGATTACTGCTTCCTTGGATAGAAGAAATAGATAATGAACTAAATAAATGGTTAAAAGGAGGAATAATAGGACCAATAGTTCATAGCGTCTAGGCGACACCGCTAGTCCCCATAAGAAACCCAGATAATAGCTTGAAATTATGCATAGATTATAGAATATCGTTAAACCCATGGATTATAAGTAAAATATCCTTTACCAAGTATAGAGCAATTATTCGCTAATCTAAAAGGAGCGACATTTTTTCGAAGATAGATTTTCCTAATGCTTATTTACAAATTAAGGTGAACGAGAATACAAGTAAAATTTTAACAATCAAACACATAGAGGGCTGTTTACATTCTGCCGATTACCGTTTGGGTTGAAAGTATGTACCCCAGTATTTCAAAGAGAGTGCTTGTATTATTTAGACGATGTTTTGATATCAGGTAAAACAGAACAGGAACATAATACGAGATTAATTAAAGTGTTAAACATAATTTTAGAAAATGGTTAAAGAGCTAATATAAAAAAAAAGTTTTTGGAGTAAAGGAAATAACGTATTTAGGACATATAATAAAAGGAAATGAAATTCTCCAATTGCAAAAATATAGAAAAGATTGTGAACATGAGAGCACCGAAAAACAGAATTACAAGCGTTTTTAGGAGCTGCTAATTATTATCATCGTTTCATACAGAATTTTGCAGAGATAAATACACTGTTGAATAAGTTATTGAAGAAAATAAAAAATTTGAATGGGGAGTAATATATAATTAAAGTTTTGAAATATTAAAGATAAAGATGATAGAAAAACCTATTCTGAAATGTTTTAATGAGACATTAAATATTATATTAGCTGTGGATGCATCTAATGAAGGTATAGGAGGAGCTTTTACAAATTGTTGATAATGTGGAGAAACCAATTTTATTTTTGTCCAGAGAATTTAACAGTACTGAAAAGAACTACTTGACAACAGAAAAGGAAGCTTTAGGTCAGATTTGGTTTGACTAAGTGTAGAGTTTAATTATTAGGTTGAAAGTTTATATTATATACGTATCACAAACCATCGTTAGATTTGTTCACAAAAGACAATAAAGAATTGATGATTTCACCGAGGTTGCAAAAATGGTTAATATTAGTTGGTAATTTAAATTTTGAAATAAGATTCAGAGCGGGTAAGCAAAATTGTTTACCAGATTATTATCGAGACTGTTTAATAAAAAAGTGAAAACAAAGTTATAGAGCCCATAATTAATTATTTAGAGTATATTAACGAAGATAAATTAAATATTAATATTATAAAATATTTGAAGGTAGATATAAGAGAAAAGCCTATAACTTTTGAGTTAGTCGATATCCAAGCAAGATAAAGAATTAATGAGAATTAGAGCTGTTTGAAAGGGGAAATAGAATGGAAAAGTGAAGACAAAGCGTTTAAAAGAGTGAAATAAATATAGAAACAATTGTTTAATGAGAGGATATCGCTTAGTTACTGAATATATTAAGAAAAGACATTTTAGCAGCGGTACATACAGGACATCAAGGTATAAAAGAATAAAGCACGAGAGTATATTTGATGGCCCAAAATGAATAGTGAGATAGAAGAAGTAGCTAAGAGTTGTACATGTAATATGTGTGTTAATGTACCAGCAAAAAACAAGGAAGATAAATGGCAGATAAGAACATTCCAAGTGAAAGAATACACGTAGATTTTATAGAATATGAAAATAAAAAATATTTTATCATGGTAGATGCTGGTCCAAAATGGATAAATTGTCAACAAGTGTCAGGTTTGTCAACAAAAGTAGCTTTGGATAAGGTAAAAGATTTTGTAGGTAAATATGAGTTAATGAAAACGTTAGTATCAGATGTAGGTCAGCGTTAAAAGGCAAAGCATTTGGCAAGTTATGTGATAGATGAAAGATTGAACATTTATTTTCGCCACCACATGATCCAAGATGTAATGAGCAAGCTGAACGAATGGTAGCTATGTTTAAATGTTGGTTAAAAAAAGAAAAATATGTAGAAGGAAAATGATGGTTATCCTTATTAGCATACAACAACACTAAGATGATCAAAGGAAATTCGCCAGCAGAGATGATTTTAGGTAGGAAAACAAGAACTGAATTAGATTGTTTGAAAGAAAAAGAAAAGCATAAAGAGATTATAGGTTTTGAAAAATTTAAAATAGGAAGTTAAGTTTGGATACTGCTGTTTGATGGTCCAATTAAATGGGGGAAGGGTGTAGTAAGGAAAAATATAGGAAAAAGAAAAGTTGAGGTAGAAATTGAAGGACAAGCAGGAACCTGGTCAAGACATATTAATCAGTTAAGACCTATATGTGTAGGGCAAGAATAATAACGGGTTTTCAAATTGATGACAATAAATGATTTGTTTTTTTGTACAAGTGAGAATTATGAGAATCATAATTTGGTGTGCTTGAAATTTGATGATAAAAATAAATGATTTGTTTTTAACAAGTGATATAGTATTATGAGATAATTTTTATGTTGGGAAAATTTATGATAGACATAATGGATTTGTTTTTTTAACAAGTTGTGCTAGAATTATGAGAATCATAATTTTATGTATATTATAGTTCATGATAGACATAAATGACATTTTGGCAATGATAAAGATGTTTGATAACAAGTTGTGTTAGAATTATGAGTCATAATGTTTTTAGTGTTTAAATACATATGTTGGTAATATTATAAAATTTGGAAAGTTAGAAATAGAGTAAAGAAAAAGAAATTATAAATTAATTCTTTTGTAGATGGCTTCATATTTTCGAGTAAGAAACAAGATCATAAAAATAGAGATCCGTGAAGTAGATGGATCGGCTGAGTCAAGAAATTGAATGAATGCCGCCAGGGAAGAAGCCCAGCAGAGGTATGGAGAAAGCATATAAGATCGGCTAAGACGTGCTTTCTCGGACAAGGGAAGGGAGTCAGATTGTGTTAAAAGGAGAAAAATAGCGTGCTAGTCACGCGGTGGTGATCACGTGATGAGGATGTGTCCAACAACTTGGCTTTGTTTATTTCAGTAGGCTCAATCTATTTTTTATTTTTTGTCTTTTATTCTTAATTTTTTAATCTCGTATATCTTTTATAAAAAAATATTTTTAACCATATAATACAGTTTTATAAATACTTTAAAAAAATTTTCATGTCATGACATTATATAATTTAAAATAAAGGAAATAACCTTGATCAAAATGTGGTATCTGAGAATTCTTTGCATAGGTAACGCTATGAGGTCTCTCAAATGAAATTTCCCCTGGCTAGCGCTTATTTGGCATTCCTTTTTTAATAGTTAAAGAGAAAGGAAATAATATTATTATTGCTATTAACTAGTAGTTATTTAAACTCAAATTTTTTTATAGAGCGTTTTTAAAATATAAATTCAGCATATATAAACTATCTACTACCTTGTGAATTTCATACAATTTGGTCAAAAATTCTGGTATATGGTTTATCATGAGAAATATTTGTAGGGTATAATGCCTGTAATTCAACGGGCAGGTTAACTATATCTGAAATACGATTTGAAATAAGAGTATTTTAAAGTTAACGCGCTCTACAAATAATGTACGTTATAAAAATTTACTAAAACCTTAGGTCCATACATTTCGCAAAAATACAAAATCCTGGATGATGACATATATATTATTAATTTATTAACAATTATATCGAACTCATGATTGAGCACTTGAGAAAAAAAAGGTGATGACGCTTATGATCGTTTCTAGTGTTGTTAATCGACTGAGTCGAGTCGACGTAGTCGAAAACAGCGCCAAGTTTTGGGTCGAAAAAATCGAATTAACTGACTTGAGATATGTACTTGGGTCGTGAACTCAAGTCGACTCGAGGCGTGAATTCAAGTCGATTCGAGGCATGAACATGAGTCTAATATTTCAAATTATTTTTTATTATTAATTAACAATTATTTTTTACTTTATAATTCCAATTAGTCGTGAATACGAATTATATATTTGAGTAGATTAGAGGACGAATAAATTAAATTAGTTATTAATAATTAAGATAATTATTCTGCTTTTTATATTTTTTTATTTTAGACTTGTAACTTGAGTGGTGAATACTAATTATATAAATGAGCCGACTAGAGGACGAATATTTCAAATTTATTATTAAGAAATTTATTTTTTACATTTTTTACTTTAGACTTCCAACTGATTCGACTAGAGGACGAATAGTTCTATGAACTTGAGTCGACTAGAGGACGAATATTTTAAAATAGTTTTTATTATTAATTGACCAAACAATTATTTTCTACTATATACTTCCAATATGAGTCGTGAATATTCAAATGATATCGAGTTCAATTTTGCATGTTACTTTAGGCTAAATAATTAGTGTTGCTAAATGGCTATAATTTAGTTGATTTAAATTAACATTTTATCCAAAACAAATTTGATACTTCATTATCTTATTCCACATTTTATTGATCAAATAAGTTCTTATTTACATTTTTTGACTGAATACTGTATTGTCAAATAATAAAATATTTAGCAGCTATATGAATATCTTAACCAATATTTGAATTTTATATAAGAAAGGCAAATAATAATCAAAACTATGAGCGGGCGGGTGAATTTTCTAGCACTCCTCATCTGTATTTAATATATATTTAGTATTTTATTTTTATTGTCCCTTTTTTAATCATTCTTTTAGATAATTATTTTATCTATTCATTAATTGTTAATAACTATTAATATTTCGATCTTAGCAAATAATTATTTTTATCTTGAGTAATTGTGATGTAATATTGTTTTAAATCTTTGTGGTAAGATCTATAACAACTATAATCTTATAATATTATTTAGCATTTAAAATTTATTTCTTACAAAATCAACATGTGTTTCCATTACTATATCATAATTTATAATAATTTTTTTAAGAATCATATCCAGTGTAAATAAAAAAATATATATTATCATACAAACGATTAAATATAATACAATACAATAATAATATGATTTGTTGTAAACATTTCCATAATGTGAAAAAACATTCTTAGATAGTTAAATAACTTTCCATAATTATTGTATTTTAAAATATATTTTAATAAAAGTTTTTAAACTTTAATGAAGATTAACCTCAAAGTTATGAATCGAATATAGTTTTTTTTAGGTTTTGGACATAAGTTTAAGTGGGAAAATGAGAATTTTAAAAAAAAATTTCTAAGATTTTTACAATAACTTTTTTTTAAAAATACATTGTAAATTTGTAATTTTAAAATATTATTACAATATATTAATTTTTACTTTTAGTTATTTAAAGAATGAAAATCAGGATAAGAAATTTGAATTATTTCTTAATATGACTGAAAATTCGAGTTTAGGGTTTTCAGATAATTCTTTTTTGTTTAGATTTATTTTATGATCAATTCGAGACACCAAAATAAAATAAAATATTTATTGATATAAATAAAATATTAGACAATACAAATCAATTATAAATTTAATCATAAAGAAATGCATCGAATTCCATTTTCAATGAACTTTGTGGTTTGAGAATAAAAATTGTATGTAAAATAACTGCTCAAAATACTCTTAACAATTACAATAACTTCTATTCGGTTAATGGGGTTAGGAGAATTCGATCGGTGTTGATTTTTAATAACTCCGAAAAATTTTCGATCGAATTTAATTGTGGTGAATAGGTTAGTAAAAATATAATATTTGGATAATTTTCACTAATTATCCTCTCTCTATTTCAGATAACACCTCGAGAGAGGTGTATCTAATATATATAAAGTTAGTAAATAATCGAATATTATATTAACAAACCTGAAACTGGAGTTAACTTTCCATAATTATTGTAAAAAAAATTTGATAAAAACACACCCTTTTTTAAAAACTTGAAAGAAAATGTTGTGAAAACCATTATTATTTTTAAAAATTTCCAATAATTTTACTTAAATTAAAACTTCTAATAATTCTTTTTTAAATTTGCGACAATTTTAATTTTCTATTTTTAAATTTATGAAAAAAATTTCCGATTAAAAACTATATTTCTATTTTTAAATGTCAGATTTTACAATCGCTAGTATTTTGAATCTATCTCCAGTTTCAGGTTTGTTAATGTTGTAACATTATATATTTTTCATGTTTATTTTTGGGATTATTGATTTTTTATGTAATGTTGTCGAAAATATTATTTTATAATGTTTTTTAAAAAAAGATATATATTTTTTTAGATATATTTTAATTTATAAAAGGTTTTCGAAATAATTATAATTATTATTCTTATGAGAAAATTTAAAAATAAAAGAATAAAAAAATGTTTTGCGTAATTATTTGCGTTTAGTTAACTGTTTCATCTGAGTCTCATATCAGTAGTCACAATAATTTTACTGTTTCCTCAAATTCTCATATCTTTAATTGTAACAATTTGGTGCCGTTTTTTAAAAAAAATAAAATAAAGAAACCTACAAGGTTATTCGGCATAAAGCAAGTATTAATCACTATACGAAAATTACAAAGTAAAATTTTGAAGGTAGAGGTAAAATATATTTTTAATTTTATTTTGAAATGTACTTTTGTATAACAGTAATTATGACCATACTCACTCTTATATATTTGTTATCATTAACTAAAGTAAAAATATTTTTAATAAAGGCTTAAATTAATTTTTTATAATTTTATCTGTTCAAAAATCATAAATATAAAAGTTATTTATAAAAATTATATAAAACCAATTACGAAAAACGATTAATAAAATATATAAAAATTGAAGTATAAAAGATTTTAATTTTTTTTTAACCATGTTTAATCGTAGACAAAGTATAAAGACGTTTAAATATGTGGAATGCAGTAATAATTATTTTTATTTAATTTTAACTGTACTTATTGGATTAATCTATGTATGGAGTAGAAATAGATTAAAGAGTATATTAAAGAAAAAGATTAAAATGAATGGAAAAATTGATGAAAGGGAAAAAATTATTGATAATATATCTAAATTTAAAGGTGAAATAATGGAAATATGGAAAGAAAATATCATTGGCGATATTAAAAAGGAAATTAATATCGTTAGAGATACTGTAGAAGAAAATAAATTTGAAAAATTAAAGTTGGAAATGGATAAAATTAAAAGAAAATAGAAGAAAGAAAAAATAAAGGGGTCGAAATAAGTAAAATGGAAATAAAAAATTTTAAATAGAAGAAAGGGGAATTAAAGAAGTAATAATAAATGAATTGGAAAAATTAAAATTGGAAATTGTAAAAAATGAAAAAGATAAGGAAGAAATGAAAAGAAAGGAAATTGAGATAAGGAAGATATTAAGGGAAGATATTGAACGTGAAAAAGGGAAGAAGAGGAAATAGAAAATAAAAAGAAGAAATGGAGAAAGTTGAGGCAAAAAAAATGGAGAAGGAAATTTTTAAATTGGAAGTAGAAAAAATGAGAATAAAAATAATAGAAATAGAGGAGCAAATAAAAAAAAGAAAAATGAATCTGAGCATAATTATGAAAATAATAAGGGAAAATGTTTATCAAAGAGAAGATGGCAGAAATCGACAGATAATAAGGGGGCTAAATGAACCATGTTTTATTTGCGGAAAATATGGTGATATAAGCCTAGATTGTAATGAAAGAATTATGCAGAAAGCTCTACCAATTGTTGTGGAAGATGCGGAAATACTGGTCACAATACGGAAAAATGTAATGTTTCAGCTTTTAAAATAGAAGAAAATGTACAAAAGGTAAGGTCATGTTCAAATTGTGGAAGAACAGGACATACTTCGGATAAATGTTTCAGAAGATAACAAACAGGTATCAATGCGTTTCCATCAGTTGCGTTTCCACTTGTTAAAAACGGGTTACCAGGAACGAATATTAAAAATGAATATAATAATGTAATACCTAAAGAAATGAAAAATGAAGAAAATAATGCTCAAGTAATAACTTATTTTCGGTGTAGAAATATTGAACATTATGCACGGGAGTCCTGTAGTATGACTATATGATATTAAAATAAAAACATTTGGAGGAGTTACATCAAAAACAATTGGATCAAATGAAAGAAAGTATAAATAAAAATAAAGTAAAAGATAATAATGAAATGGAAAGAAAAAATGAAGGAAATGGAAATAACACTTATGGGATTTGTAAAAATATGTTAGGAGATGTAACACAAAAGAATATACAAATATGCAATTTACCGATTTTAAAGTTGGAAGATAAAAAAAATTTTGGTCAATGTCCAAGAGTAAAAGTGAATGTAGGAAATAAAGAAATTTCGATGTTATTAGATACAGGGGCAACAATATCTGTAAT